GAGAGCATGTAGTTGATCCATGGCAATGACAATCGACGAAGGTAGTCAGCAATACTCGTGACTGCTGGAGCTTTGTCGCTTGGCGGCTAGAGCATTAATCGCTTTGACTGTTCGAGCAAGAATATCCAAGCTATTACGCATCTAGTGAGTGTTTCTAATCTACGGTCCACATCGCATCCCCTTCGAGTCGAGTTTAGCGATGTCTCCTAACGCCGTAACGCGCCTTTCTGGCATCACTCACGCGTTTTGAGTCGACTCAGAACAGTTTAACAATGTCTCCTAGCGCGTAACGTGTCTTCCTGGTATCACTCACGCGGTCGCATTGCCTCTGGCATCAGTCACTTCATCGCATTGTCACTTAGTTTGAAAACGAATTCTCTTAAAACGACTTAGTTAGAGACTGACCCGTTACCGGCTCGGTGTCGCATTTATCGTAAAATGAAACTGACTTTGCGGGTCCCAGCGACCCTGTCGGTGTTGCTAGCAGTGCTTCTGGCGCTTTCAGCATCGCAGTGGCACATCGCTGCTGCTTCGGAAGCAGCAGTCACATCAGCAGCAGCAGCAGCAGCAGCAGCAGCGGCAGCAAGAGAAGCCGCATCGCCAGCAATAGCAGCAGCAGCAACAGATTCCGCACCAGCATCAGCGTCAGGACTGACTGGGTCAAGAGGGTCGATTGGGACAGGGTCAACTGGGACAGGGTCAAGCGGGTCAACAGAGTCAATTGGAGGGACAGGGTCAACAATGTCAAGGGAGGTCCGAGGAGCGGCATCAGGTGGAGTTGGTGGTACAGTGCCAGCATCAGCGTCAGCATTAACACCAGCGGCACCATCACCATCATCACCAGCAGTATCACCACCATCATCACCAGAATTCTCACCACCAGCATCGTCACCAGCAGTATCATCACCATCATCCTTACCTCCAGCATTGTCACAACCAGCACCATCAGCATCACCATCACCACCAGCATCGTCAGCACCATCAGCATTTTCAGCACCAGCATCAACATCAGCACCAGCATCAACATCACCATCACCACCATCAGCACCATCACCAGTTGCCGCGCCGGTTGCCGAGCCTCAGCTCCCAACCACTGAACCAACTGCCGAGCCTTCCCTCCCTGCTTCCAAGCATGTTTCCAAACCTGCTGCCGAGCCTTCTCTTCCACCTCCCGAGCCTAATGCCGAGCCATCCCTGCTCGCACCACTATCTTCGCCTGCCGAACCATCCCTTCCTGCCCTAGCACCTGCTTCTGAACCATCCGCCGCACCACCTTCCGAACCACCCTCGGAACCTCCCTCTGGGTCTCCTGCCGAAACTCCATCCGAAGCACCTGAGTTAGGTTCGGAAGAGGGCGAGGAGCCGCTGCCAGCCATCCCCGAGCCTAGCTCCCTGGTGTGCCAGCTATCGGACTATACGAGAGTATCCGGTCCCTGCTAAGGTGAGTTAAGGTGCAAGAAAAGCCTTTTGTAGTGTCCTTGTGCAAAGGTGAGTGAAGCCTCGAGACGAGAGCATGTTGTTCCCGAGCCTAGCTCACTGGGTCGCAGCTGCAGGACTGTACCAGAGTATATATACGGTCCCTGCCAAGGTGAGAGAAGGCTCAAGAAGAGCGTTTTGTGTCTCTCAAGGTGAGACCTGTGTTAGGCTGAGAGCTGAGGTCCGTGTCAAGGTGTGAAGCTGTTCAAGTTACGGTAAGTGTTTGATGTATCCCTCCCTATCAATGTGAATTTCCTGCCAATGAAGCCATAAGTTGCCTGCTGCTTCTCCCCCCTGTTTCATTCATCCCCTCCTTGGCGCCCACCATTGCTGCTCCAGGTCAGCAGCGGCAGCAGCGCATCCACTTCATCTGCTCAAGGTCCGCAACTGCACCGACCCCTCCCAGCCGAACCTTTTATGTCTTCCCGTTTCTCCTGCTCCTCCATACTATCACTCTCGCCTCTGCCTCTGTACCCCCACCACCCCTCTCCAGGTCAGCAGCGGCACGTCTTCTCCAACAAAACCCGCAACTGCACCGATCCCTTGGAGTGTAGTGGACCTCTCCTGCTTACCCCTCCTCCTGCTGCTTCCCCACACTGTCTCTCGCCTCTGCCTCTGTACCCCCACCATCCATCTCCAGGTCAGCAGCGGCGCATTTTCTTCAACAAGGCCCGCAACTGCACCGACCCCTTCCCGCTGAACCTCCCGTTTCCCCCGTGCATCTCCTTCACTCCAGGCCGTGTCTCTTTCCCCTGCCCCCACCACTCGCCGCCGCCTTCACAGGTCAGCAGCGGCGCATTTTCTTCAACAGGGCCCGCAACTGCACCGACCCCTTCCCGCTGAACCTCTCGCCTCGACCTGAGCCTTGCGGTGAGTTGCTCTGCGGTGGTTCACTCTGCGGTGAAGTGCTTTGCAGTGAGGTGCTTTGCGGTGAGGTGCTCTGAAGTGAGTTGCCCTGCCCTGCAGTGAGCTGCGTTGGCACATGGAATGATTGACCTCTGAGGTGCCTCAAAAGTCAGGTGCACCGACCTCTCGCCTCGATCTGAACCCTGCGGTGAGCTTCTGGTGGAGGACCGTGGTCTTAGGGATTTAGGGTTTTAGGGTGAGAAGGTGGACTGTGGCTTTAGGGTTTTAGGGTGAGAAGGTGGACCGTGGCTTTAGGGTGTAGGGAGGGACCGAACAAGCTTTGAATATGTACCCTAAACTTCAACCCAGCCCACCTGGGTGGACCGTGGCTTTAGGGTGTAGGGAGGGACCGAACAAGCTTTGAATATGTATCCCTAAACCTCAACCCAACCCATACCGTGGTGGTATGATGTGACTTTTGAGTCGACTCAAAAGTCACCCAACCCATACCGTGGTGGTATGATGTGACTTTTGAGTCGACTCAAAAGTCACCCAACCCATACCGTGGTGGTATGATGTGACTTTTGAGTCGACTCAAAAGTCACCCAACCCATACCGTGGTGGTATGATTTCAAGTATTTACGCCAGACCTAAGCCCAGATTGATATCATTTTATCATATCAACCGTAGGCCCAGGAGGAGAAGATGACTGCGTGGCACCAGACCAGACGACTGCACACCAGCACGGCGGCATGCACAGCAGAGGAGAGGACTGCGGGCACAAGTAAGAGAAGTGTCACAATGTCATGGCTGGCTGTGCGTGTAGTGGTGAGTCTATTTTTGTTTTGAGACGTCTCAAGGCACGCACAGCAGAGGACTGCGGGCACAAGTAAGAGAAGTGTCACAATGTCATGGCTGGCTGTGCGTGTAGTGGTGAGTCTATTTTTGTTTTGAGACGTCTCAAGGCACGCACAGCAGAGGACTGCGGGCACAAGTAAGAGAAGTGTCACAATGTCATGGCTGGCTGTGTCTGTGTGTGTCGTGTCGTGTCGTGTAGTGAGTCTATTTTTGAGTCGACTCAAGAATGTCATGGCTGGCTGTGTGTTCATCCATATGTGCATCCCATCCCACCCCATACCCATTGCATGGCATGACATGCCATGACAGACATCTCTACACACCCGTGTGTGTGCGCTGTGCCTGTGCCTCTCTCCTCCCGTACAGACTGCACATCAGAGGACTAAGAGCGCAAGTATGTCAAGGCAGGCAATCACGTGGCACTTTTCTAGTGGCTGGACCATGCCGTACCCATGTGCCTTCACGATTGTGTGTTTGCTCTTGTCTCTCCTCCCATGCAGACTGCACGCCAGAGGACTATGAGAGCAAGTACGTCAAGGCAGACAGAGGCGTGGCAATTTGTCTTGACGCCTGTGTGTGCACCTTTGTCCCTCGCACCCTGTACAGACTGCACGCCAGAGGACTAAGAGAGCAAGTACGTCAAGGCAGGCAATGGCGTGGCAATGTGTCTTGACGCCTGTGTGTGCGCCCTTGTCTCTCCTCCCGTGCAGACTGCACGCCAGAGGACTATGAGAGCAAGTACGTCAAGGCAGGCAATGGCAGGCGAGGGCCAGCGGCCGTATCCCATACCCATGTGTCTTCACGCCTGTGTGTTTGCTGTTGCCTCTCTCCTCCCGTGCAGACTGCACGCCGGAGGACTATGAGAGCAAGTACGTCAAGGCAGATACAGGCCTGGCCGGTCGTGTGTTCATTCATGTGTCCCATCCCATACCCACATCCACATGTGTGTGTGTGTGTGTGTGTGTGTGTGTGTGTGTGTGTGTGCGTGTGCGTGTGTGCGTGTGCGTGTGCGTGAGTGTGTGTGTGTGTGTGCGCGCGCGTGCGCCAATATCTCTTTCACCCCACCAGACTGCACGCCAGAGGACTATGAGCGCAAGTACGTCAAGGCAGACAATGGCTCCTGCACCCTCTCCTTCCAGCCAACCAGTACGTACTCGTTTGTGCATCCCACTCTACTTTTGAGGCGCCCGAAAAGTCTATTCACGATGTGCCCAAAATCGGACAATGGCTCCTGCACGCTCTCCTTCCAGCCAACCAGTACGTACTCGTTTCTGAACTCCAGATTTGTTGAGCTTGATTCTGAAAATTCCAGCTTACTCTTGAGGCGCCTCAAAAGTCCTCTCCTTCCTGCAAATTAGTACCTACTCGTTTCTGAACTCCAGGTTTGCCTTCGGCTAACTTTTGCCATTTATTTTTGTAACTTTGTTTCATCTGCAAAAAGTTGGCTAGAAGATTCTCTGGGTGGATAGACGATGTTAAGAGTTGGTTATCGTCACTATAAGTCTACCAGTTGTGACTCTATATGACCTTTTTGAAGAGGCACAATCATGCACCATCCCTTGACTTGTCCCCGTTGCCCTCGCTTCCAGTTGCACCTATGATAAATCCGAAACACGTTATGCTGTTGGGGTGAATGGGGTGCTCTCGTTTGCTCCATGACAACAGATTGTGATGGGGTGAATTCCAGCTGGGATCTTTCAGCTGGCCTTCTCTCCTTGTCCCTATTGTTCTCGTCTCCAGCTGCATTGCATTTAGGGTAAATCCACAACCACAACACGTTATGCCTGTCTTTTTCTATCTTGTTTGCCTGATGTCAACAGACTGCGAGGGAGGGGATTCCACTTGGGAGATTCCTGCCGACCCTCTCTTCTGTGGTAAGCTCACTCCGAGTAATCTGCTGCATCCTCGTTTCTTTTCCAGTTCCTCGTTAAGCACTCCTTGCGAAATCAGCTCTTTGCATCTGCGAGTGGTGGTGTGCATGCAGCATGGTGCCTGGATTTCATTGCGAGCTGCCTCTGCTGCCATTGACCCACCCTGGATGCACGCATGTGTGCTCGCACGTGTGCATGCGTGTGTGTCTTTTGTGAGTTTGTGCATATGTTCCTCCTTCCTGCCTGCATGCAAATCCATCCATGCACATACCTAATTGCCTCCGAAATACGCATCCAATTGAGTAATTGCTGCAGAGTTAACCCCAGTGCCAGGTGTCTTTTGATTTGAGATGTCTCAACTCAAAAGTCGCGTGCAGATATGGGTCTAGGGATTAGGTATTTGCTGCCCAAGCCTATGTTGAGTGATCTATTGCAGGGCTAGGCTAGCCCCAATTCCAGCTTGGGGGGCTTCGGGGTCCGGATCTGACGGTAACATAACATTCTCATCCCATGACCGAATGGGGGGATCCATGCATCAGATTCAGCTTATAACATCCTCCCATGATGTTATCAGCATCAGGCATGGGGTTCAGCTTATAACATCCTCCCATGATGTTATCAGCATCAGGCATGGGGTTCAGCTTATAACATCCTCCCATGATGTTATCAGCATCAGGCATGGGGTTCAGCTTATAGCATCCTCCCATGATGTTATAAGCATCAGGCATGGGGTTCAGCTTATAACATCCTCCCATGACCGCATGTTGATTGATAATCGATCTGTTGCAGAGCTAGCCCCTGTGCCATGTGGGGAGGGCAACATCCGCACCATCCATGGCAAATGCGACTACATCAGAGACCCCACGTCCAGCCAGCCCCTCAGCAAGGAGAAAACCATCCAGGCACGTGGTAACATGCGGTAACACGCGGTAGCATGTGGTAACATGTGGTAGCTCCGGTGGGTGGCATGCATGTGGGGAGGGCAACATCCGCACCATCCACGGCAAGTGCGACTACATCAGAGACCCCGCATCCAACCAGCCCCTCAGCAAGGAGAAAACCATCCAGGCACGTGGTAACACGTGGTAACACGCGGTAGCATGTGGTAACATGTGGTAGCTCCGGTGGGTGGCATGCATGTGGGGAGGGCAACATCCGCACCATCCATGGCAACTGCGACTACATCCGAGACCGAGCAATGAGCCAGCCCCTCAGCAAGGAGAAGACCATCCAGGCACGTGGTAACACGCGGTAACATGTCGTAAGACACTAGACAATACGTGGTAACATGTGGTAACATGTCGTAAGACACTAGACAATACGTGGTAACATGCGGCAACATGTCGTAAGACACTAGACAATACGTGGTAACATGCGGCAACATGTCGTAAGACACTAGACAATACGTGGTAACATGCGGCAACATGTCGTAAGACACTAGACAATACGTGGTAACATGCGGCAACATGTCGTAAGGCACTAGACAATACGTGGTAACATGCGGCAACATGTCGTAAGACACTAGACAATACGTGGTAACATGCGGCAGCATGTCGTAAGACACTAGACAATACGTGGTAACATGCGGCAACATGTCGTAAGACACTAGACAATACGTGGTAACATGCGGCAACATGTCGTAAGACACTAGACAATACGTGGTAACATGCGGCAACATGTCGTAAGACACTAGACAATACGTGGTAACATGCGGCAACATGTCGTAAGACACTAGACAATACGTGGTAACATGCGGCAACATGTCGTAAGACACTAGACAATACGTGGTAACATGCGGCAACATGTCGTAAGACACTAGACAATACGTGGTAACATGCGGCAACATGTCGTAAGACACTAGACAATACGTGGTAACATGCGGCAACATGTCGTAAGACACTAGACAATACGTGGCAACATGCGGCAACATGTCGTAAGACACTAGACAATACGTGGTAACATGCGGCAACATGTCGTAAGACACTAGACAATACGTGGTAACATGCGGCAACATGTCGTAAGACACTAGACAATACGTGGTAACATGCGGCAACATGTCGTAAGACACTAGACAATACGTGGTAACATGCGGCAACATGTCGTAAGACACTAGACAATACGTGGCAACATGCGGCAACATGTCGTAAGACACTAGACAATACGTGGTAACATGCGGCAACATGTCGTAAGACACTAGACAATACGTGGTAACATGCGGCAACATGTCGTAAGACACTAGACAATACGTGGTAACATGCGGCAACATGTCGTAAGACACTAGACAATACGTGGTAACATGCGGCAACATGTCGTAAGACACTAGACAATACGTGGTAACATGCGGCAACATGTCGTAAGACACTAGACAATACGTGGTAACATGCGGCAACATGTCGTAAGACACTAGACAATACGTGGTAACATGCGGCAACATGTCGTAAGACACTAGACGATACGTGGTAACATGCGGCAACATGTCGTAAGACACTAGACAATACGTGGTAACATGCGGCAACATGTCGTAAGACACTAGACAATACGTGGTAACATGCGGCAACATGTCGTAAGACACTAGACAATACGTGGTAACATGCGGCAACATGTCGTAAGACACTAGATAATACGTGGTAACATGTGGTAACATGTCGTAAGACACTAGACAATACGTGGTAACATGCGGCAACATGTCGTAAGACACTAGACAATACGTGGTAACATGCGGCAACATGTCGTAAGACACTAGACAATACGTGGTAACATGCGGCAACATGTCGTAAGACACTAGACAATACGTGGTAACATGTGGTTACGTGGTCAAAACGTATGGTGCTGTCATGTTCCCTGCTGCTCGTCCGTCTTCTTCATTCACGCTTGCGCTTCCTCAGCATCCTCCTCCTCAGCATTTCAAGTTGTAATTTCAATATCCTTTTATATTTTGAGCAAAGTTCTTGAGGCGCGTCATCACCATAACATGTAATCATGTCACCATCACCATCACGATCACCCTCACATCACCCCCCCCCACATCACCATCACCCTCACATCACCCCCCTCCACATCACCATCACCCTCACATCACCCGCACTCCCACATCATCATTTCAACCACCAGGTGATCTATTACTTTGACAGCGGTTGCAACCCCACAGCACACGGCTCTCTCCCGCTACCCTCGCCTGGATACATCCCCTGCGGTATGTGTGTGTGTGTGTGTGTGTGTGTGTGTGTGTGTGTGTGCGCTGAGAGTTTCGTGGTGGGTCGGGTGGGAGTTGTGTGGTGGCTTGATCTGTGGCGGCGCTGCCATAGCCTGGATACATTTTCTGCGGTATGTGTGTGTGTGTGTGTGTGTGTGTGTGTGTGTGCTGGGAGTTTTGTGGTGGTTCAAGTGGGGTGGGGGTTCTGTGGTGGGTTGGGTTGAACCTTATCTAGCCATCACGAATCACCCCACACGGCTCTCTCCCGCTGCCATAGCCTGGATACATCCCCTGCAGTATGTGCCAAAGTTTTGAGACGTCTCAAAGCTACCATGACCTGGATGCATTCCTGCCCTGCTGTATGTGCCAAAGGTACGATGAACCAGCTGGATACATTTCCCACATTATGTGCCATATTGTGCCGTACCATACTTTACCATATCATACCGTACCGTACCGTACCATTCCATACCGCACCGTGCCATACCATAACATACCATACCATACCATACTGTACCGTACTGTACCATACCATTCCATAGCATATACTGTACCGTACCCCCCTCCACTCCCATCTTCCCCTTTTCCTTTCTCCCCCCCCTCCCACACAGACATGACGTGCCCTGCCGGTTCCTACCTGGATGGGGACAATGCCGCAAGTGCAAGCCTGGCACACAGAGGAGAGGAGAGCACACAGGACATCATTCCTCCATCCAATCCCATCCACTGCTTCTCTCTTCCCCCTTCGCCCAACCCCCCGCCCCCCCCCCCCCAAGACATGACGTGCCCTGCTGGCTCCTACCTGGACGGGGACAAGTGTCGCAAGTGCAAGCCCGGCACGTACAGCATGGGGGGAGGGATCCGTTTCGACGCTTTCTATGAGCTTGATGACCGGTTGTTCCAGGTATGGCTGGGTACTTGGCGGTACGATATTTTCTGAGGCACCTTGAAGTTCGCTTTTGAGCTGCCTCAAGATTCATGGCCGGTTGTTCCTGGTACGATTGGGTACTTGGTGGTACGGTAGTTTCTGAAGGTCGCTATTGAGGCACCTCAAGACAAGGCTCATGGCCGGTTGTTCCTGGTGCGATTGGGGAAACCTTGACTTGCTTGGACTTGCAGACTGACTCAGAACTTACAATGAGTCGTGCATATTATCTTGATATATGATATATATATATATAATTTATTTCTTGTTGCTCACGTGCATCTCCTGCTTATTTTTTCTACCGCTCTGTATCCCTCCCTTTCACTGCCAGACGGACTGCACCCACTCCAACTCCTCGGGTTCATTCAAGTGCGACGGGTAAGGTCATCTCGATGCACCACTCATGCGACTTTTGAGTGGGCTCACAAGTCGCTCAAGAGTCACCTTTTTTATTCGACTCAAAGTCATTAAAAAGTCACCTTTTTGGGTCGAATCAAAAGTAAGGCCATCTCAATGCACCACTCATGCAAGCATATGTGTCGACACGTCAAGCTCCGTGCTTTTTCAAATGCGATTTAGGCCTATGTGCCTGGCTGGCCGTAGCAAGAGGACCAAAAGGCTTAATATGAGACTGCCGCTCCTCCCTTAGTTCTTTCTCATCGTTCGCAACAGCTTGTGGCATGGCATGCGTCAATAGGCCAGCTCATATTCAGGCCTCTTTTTGATTCGAGGCGCTTCTGTGACGGGCTTAAAGGCCTAACTAAATCGACTCAATAGCCATCCATATGCTCACCATTCTCCGTTGCTTCTCACCGCCCCCCCAACAGGTGGTATGCAGCAGGCGGCCAGCTCAAAGCCGGCCCGTACAGCAACCCGGTTCTTGAGGCGCCTATAAGACAGCAGTCATCCCACATGGCGATTATCCACCAGACTCCCTTTCCTTGGTGCGTCTCACCGCCCCCCCAACCCAACAGGTGGTATGCAGCAGGCGGCCAGCTCAAAGCCGGCCCGTACGACCCACCCAATGAATGGTATCCGGTAAGGCTCAAGCGCTTACTTGGCACAAGCTCATCCGTGAATTGAGACTTTTGACTTTTTAAAATTTCCCGGAACTCGAACGTTCCCTGTAGGCAGTCTCGTGCAAAATGTTGGCTCACTCACGCGGCTGCTCCCTTGAGTTGAGTGCTACAACTGTCACGCTAAGTGGATACGTCTTGATGCGCCTCAATAACCTCCCTTGAGTGCCACAACTGTCCTGTCACGCCGCCAAGTGGATGAGACTCGAGGCACCCCATTTTGAGGCGCCTCAAAACTCAACTCATTTTGCGCCCTTGAGTGCTACAACTGTCACGTCACGCCAAGTGGATGAGTCTTGAGGCACCTCAATCAAAGGTCACATTCCTCATGCCCTTGTCTCTAAACCCTCATATTGCTTTAATCTAGCCCGGCGACAGCACGACCTGCTTCCTGGAAACCCACGATTGCCTGCCACAACACCACAACTTGCCACTGCAACCTGCCACTGCAACCTGCCTCTGCAACCTGCCACTGCAACCTGCCACTGCAACCTGCCACTGCAACCTGCCACTGCAACCTGCCACTGCAACCTGCCACTGCAACCTGCCACTGCAACCTGCCACTGCAACCTGCCACTGCAACCTGCCACTGCAACCTGCCACTGCAACCTGCCACTGCAACCTGCCTCTGCAACTTGCCACTGCAACCTGCCTCTGCAACTTGCCACTGCAACCTGCCTCTGCAACCTGCCACTGCAACCTGCCACTGCAACCTGCCACTGCAACCTGCCACTGCAACCTGCCACTGCAACCTGCCACTGCAACCTGCCTCTGCAACTTGCCACTGCAACCTGCCACTGCAACCTGCCACTGCAACCTGCCACTGCAACTTGCCACTGCAACCTGCCTCTGCAACTTGCCACTGCAACCTGCCTCTGCAACTTGCCACTGCAACCTGCCTCTGCAACTTGCCACTGCAACCTGCCTCTGCAACTTGCCACTGCAACCTGCCTCTGCAACTTGCCACTGCAACCTGCCTCTGCAACTTGCCACTGCAACCTGCCTCTGCAACTTGCCACTGCAACCTGCCTCTGCAACTTGCCACTGCAACCTGCCACTGCAACCTGCCACTGCAACCTGCCACTGCAACCTGCCACTGCAACTTGCCACTGCAACCTGCCTCTGCAACTTGCCACTGCAACCTGCCACTGCAACCTGCCACTGCAACCTGCCACTGCAACCTGCCTCTGCAACTTGCCACTGCAACCTGCCACTGCAACCTGCCACTGCAACCTGCCACTGCAACTTGCCACTGCAACCTGCCTCTGCAACTTGCCTCTGCAACTTGCCACTGCAACCTGCCACTGCAACCTGCCACTGCAACTTGCCACTGCAACCTGCCTCTGCAACTTGCCACTGCAACCTGCCTCTGCAACTTGCCACTGCAACCTGCCTCTGCAACTTGCCACTGCAACCTGCCACTGCAACTTGCCACTGCAACCTGCCTCTGCAACTTGCCACTGCAACCTGCCATTGCAACCTCTCTTATACCCCTCTGGCTCTTCCTTCTGTCAGATTGCCATCCTCATTGTAACCTACATCAATCCTATAAGCTTAGGTTAGAGATAGCCACCCAAACTCAGTTTGGGTGTAGAACTAGGGCTAACCCTAGTTGGGGGGTGGAACTCAAACCTTGGCCCCCAAGGCTGGGTTGGGAATTATTGGTCCCCCCAATGATGTTGAACCACTTGGTCAACATTATTGGTCCCCCCAATAATCCCTCAACCCAACTTATTGGTGGGGGCCAATAATGTTGGCTTGGTTCCAACCAAACCCCCCCCCTTGGCACTACTATGTATACCCCCATCTATCCTAATCAACTCAATGGTTCTTCCTCACGTTTTCTCACACCTTCCACCCACACCACCTGCTTCTCTCCATCTGTGCTGTGCAGGACGACTGTTCCCTGGGGTCCTACAATTGCCACAACAACCTGCGTGCGTCGCTGCGCATGCAAGTGGAGCTCATTACATCGGGGTGAGTGCGTGCGGACTGTGCAAGTTTGACACACCACCTCACCCGTGTGTGCCCCCATATTAATCAATCGGGGTGTGGCGTGAGTGGCATGCAAGTGGAGCTCATTACATCGGGGTGAGTGAGTGAGGGCTGTGCAAGTTTGACACACCACCTCACCCGTGTGTGCCCCCATATTAATCAATCGGGGTGTGGCGTGAGTGGCATGCAAGTGGAGCTCATTACATCGGGGTGAGTGAGTGAGGGCTGTGCAAGTTTGACACACCACCTCACCCGTGTGTGCCCCCATATTAATCAATCGGGGTGTGGCGTGAGTGGCATGCAAGTGGAGCTCATTACATCGGGGTGAGTGAGTGAGGGCTGTGCAAGTTTGACACACCACCTCACCCGTGTGTGCCCCCATATTAATCAATCGGGGTGTGGCGTGAGTGGCATGCAAGTGGAGCTCATTACATCGGGGTGAGTGAGTGAGGGCTGTGCAAGCTTGACACAACATCTCACCCGTGTCTCCCCCATATTAACCGATCGGGGTGAGCTAGTGAGCGCTGTGCTCAGGTTGACACTTCACCTCACCTCACCCGTGTGTGCCCCCATATTAACCAATCGGGGTGAGTGGCATGCAAGTGGAGCTCATCCGATCGGGGTGAGTGACGGCCGTGCTCAGATTGGTGCTGGCAATGAGTAAGTGTGGCGCACCAGTTTCGCGCACTGATCCTCCCCTTACAATACAATCATCCTCCGTTTCGTGCCTGGGCCATCCCCCGTCCCCCACCCACAGCTATGTCCGTCCGCTATCGCTTCACAGTGAGCGCGGAGCACAAGTTTGACGGGCTTCCCTCTCCTCCCCTCTCCTCAGATGTTCCGCTACCCCCTGCCTTATCCTCCCTCTCCCATCCCCCAAACCCCATCCCCACCCACAGCTACATCCGGTACCGCTTCACAGTGAGTGCGGAGCACAAGTTTGACGGGCTGCTCTTCTTCCTTGACTCCTCTCTCATCTTCGGCTCCCCTCTGCCCCATCTACCATACACCAACCCCCCTCGATCCTCTACTTGCAGCTACATCCGATACAAGTTCACAGTGAGCGCAGAGCACAAGTTTGACGGGCTGCTCTTCTTCCTTGACTCCTCACCAGAGCCCCTGATGGGCCTCGAGTCCAACCAGGTGAGTCGGTGACTTATGAGTCGACTCAGAATCACCGCAGTTCTCAACTCGAGCCTCATTTGAGTGACTTCTCGGTTTGACGGGCTGCTCTTCTTCCTTGACTCGTCACCGGAGCCCATGATGGGGCTGGAGTCTAACCAGGTGAGCTGCTCCCGGTCCCCCTGGTTGGGTGCTCACTTCCATTTTGAGCCAGTGACTTCTGAGCGACTCAACAGTCACCCCAGTTTGACGGGCTGCTCTTCTTCCTGGGCTCCTCGCCAGAGCCCATGATGGGGCTCGAATCCAACCAGGTGAGCCAGTGCCTTAGTGAGAACCGGGCATCCACATGTTGGAGTGGGTGTGTTACGAGTAGGCATGAGAAAAGGGCCAGCAGGCACACAAGCTCTCCCATGCAGTGTGTGAATCAATCAATCCTTCCCCATCCACCCCCCCCTGCCAGTTCGGACCAATGGAGGTGCAAAGAATACTGGAACCAGGCATCCACATGTTGGAGTGGGTGTATTACGAGTAGGCATGAGCAAAGGGCCAGGCAGGCACACAAGCTCTCCCATGCAGTGCGCTTGATTCATCCCCATCCATTCCCTCCCATCCCCTTCCTGCCTCTGTTCGAGCCAATGGAGGTGCAGATAATGCTGGAGCCGGGCATTCACACGTTGGAGTGGGTTTACTACGAGGAGGCATGCTTAACCCATCTTCCCCCCCAACCCCCATCCCCCCCCAACCGTGCCTTCCCCACCAGTTCGAGCCCATAGAGGTGCAGATAATGCTGGAGCCGGGCATTCACACGCTGGAGTGGGTGTATTACAAGCAGGCACAAGCACGAGCAAAGAGCCATGCGTGCGTGCTTCCCCTCCCTGCCTGCCTGCTCAACCCACCCTTCCCCACCAGTTCGAGCCAATGGAGGTGCAGATAATGCTGGAGCCAGGCATTCACACGCTGGAGTGGGTTTTGTACAAACAGTCATGCTCAACTCAACCCATCTTCCCCCACCCCCCATTTACCCCCTGCCACCCGTCCCCACCCACCAGTTCGACCCCATGGAGGTGCAGATAATGCTGGAGCCGGGCATCCACACGTTGGAGTGGGTTTACTACAAGGATTCCAAGTTCACCAAGGGGAGGGACTCTGCTGCCCTGCACGTGAGTGTGGTGCAGGGTTGAGTTGAGGGTTTGTAGGGGCAGTGAGTGAGCTAGTGAGGTAGTGAGTGCAACCTGGCATGCATTCACACGCTGGAGTGGGTTTACTACAAGGATTCCAAGTTCACCAAGGGGAGGGACTCTGCTGCCCTGCACGTGAGTGTGCTGTGGGGTTGAGGGGAAGTAGGAAGCATGAGGCACGCACTTGCACTGTAACCCGGCATTCACACACACGCTGGAGTGGGTGTATTACGAGGACTCAGAGTGGTGGAGCACTCTGAGTCCACACTCTGAGCTGGAGTGGGTGTATTACGAGGACTCCAAATGGACCAAGGGGAGAGGGGAGGGGGGTTGGGTGGTGAGGGGCGGAAGGTGGAAAGGGAGTGTGGGGCAGAAAGTTAGACGGCTGATAGCACAACTTATCATCAATGTGCGTGAGAGGACCCGTGGAGTTGAATGAGATACCCCCAGTCTTCTTCTTCTTGAAGTAGATCTGATGGGAGGAAGAGGGGTAACAGTTTGAGTAGGAAAGAAGTGTGGTGTGGTGTGCTGTGGTAAACCCTCACCACGCTGGAGTGGGTTTACCACAAGGACTCCAAATGGACCAAGGGGAGGGACTCCGCTGCCCTGCACGTGAGTGTGCTATGGATTTGAGTGGAAACAGGGGACACTGAGGCACGCCCATGCACTGAAGCCAGGCATCCACCACACCAAACTTTGCAATGGGTGGGTGTACAGTGTACGCCGTGTATATGAATGAAGGCTTGCAAGTGGACCAAGGGCAGGGACTCCGCTGCCCTGCACTGCAGGTGAGTGGATGACAAAATTCCTGCCCAGGCAGGCAGGATAAGCAAACCAGTCAAAAGCCACCAATACCCGCCCTGCACGTGGGTGGAGGTACGGCGGAGCGGACATTGGTCGCTTTTGGCTGGTTTGCTACCCTGCCTGCCTGGGCGGTGCCTCTAGTTCTGAGGCGCCTCTGAATTATGATTCCCTGCCTGGACTGGCTGATAGGCAGCAGGGCATGTGAGGTGGAATTATGGTGTGCTGCTCTTATGAGTCGACTCAAAAGGTGACTTTTGAATCGACTCAAAGGGCATGTGAGGTGGAATTATGGTGTGCTGCTCTTACCCGTGCTCTTCTTTATCCTGCCGCCACTTGTTGTCTGTGCCTGCCTTGTGTTGTGTGCGTACAGCTGGTAGAGGTGGGAGGGATTGACTACACGGACCGCCAGTGCTTCCCGTGCCAGGCAGGCTTCTACAGGTGAGGCAATGGGCAGCGGTGGGTAGTGGTGGGCAGTGGTGGCAAGGGATGCTGTTGGGTCATTGAGATGGCCACCTGACATGGCTGGCAGCTGGTTGAGGTGGGTGGAATCGATTAGTCGGACCGGCAGTGCTTTCCGTGCCTAGCAGGCTTCTCCAGGTGAGTGCGGAGCAGCAGGCAGTGGTGGGCAGTGGTGGGCAGTGGTGCAGTGTGCAACAATGGTGGCAAGGGATGCCGTGTGGGTCATTCAGATGGCCACCTGCCATGCCAGCTGGTAGCGGTGGGGGGCATTGACTACACGGACTGGCAGTGATTCCCATGCCAGGCAGGCTTCTACAGGTGAATGCGGAGCTGTGGGTAATGGTGGGCAGGGCGCAGTGGGTTGGGACCAGGGAGTGCACTAGTGGTTGCTGGTATGGAAGCTGGTAGAGGTGGGGCGGCATTGACTGCACAGACTGGCAGGCAGTGCTTCCCGTGCCCGGCAGCAGGCTTCTACAGGCTTCCCGTGATCTGCTTCTGATGCTTCTGAGCATCAGTGTGCTGGTGGTAACTGGTTAGGTTCACCGGCGTGGTAGGCTTTACTTTGGATTGGATCCAACACAGCTTTCTACGTGACATTTCAATTTAAGGCTTCTGCAGGATCTGCACTCTACTAAAATGCGTTTTACTAGATTGACAAATTTTCCGAAAATTTCCAGCCATGCCATCCGCTGTTTTGTTTGCATACCACTGCTCTTCCTTGGTGCAGTGAGGAGGGCTCTACTGAGTGTGCGCCATGCCCTGTGGACCACTACTCGCGGTGAGTCCAAAGGCTGTATTTCTAATGAGCCCTGGTGCTGGCTGTGGTAGTGCTGCTGCTGCTGCTGCTGCTGCTGCTGCTGCTGTTCTCGGTGTTGTTGCTGGTGCTGCTGGTGGTGGCTTGTAGAGTGCAACCACTGCAATGCTGATCAGCTGATAACTCATGCCGGTTGGCCAGCATTTTGGGTGATTATTATGCCAGCCCCACACTCTCTGCTGGTGATTATGCGCTCATTGCACTTGCACCATCCACGTGTACTATATACCACCGCAGGGAGGGCTGGCCAGAGTGCAAGCCATGCAGTGCTGAAGAGTACGCTCAGTCGCCTCCTCGAGCCAACTGCACTGCCAGGCCTCGTACGTGTGCGGGCTGGGCAGTGCCATGGTCCAAGCGACTTCAGCTCTCTCTCTCTCTCGTATTTCTGGCTCTAGCTCCTCTCCTCTGTCTCCCTCCCTCTGCTCTCTCCCCATCCCTCCCTCCCTTTCCCCTCTGCCACTAAGCCTGCTGCTGCCTGTCTCTCCACCTCCTTTTCTCTGCCTCCTCGACAATTCTCCAGCTTGCAACGTGACAACCCATGCCGCCCCTACCTACGGCAACTGTAGCTCAGTGGACAACCAGAGAATCAAGGTGAGATGGAACCCACAAGGAAAACAAAACAGTAGGGTTCAATGCACTCGATTGTGTTCTGGTCCGGTGTATTTTTTTTTCATTAAGAATTGAGCCGTGCAGGCAGTCAGTACACACAGCCAGGTTGCTGGTAAGCTTTGAGTCGACTTGAAACCCAATGTTGATGGCCTCTCATGTGCCAGCCGTCACACAATCGCACCAACTCACTCTTTCCTTGGTTCTCCTCAGCCTTGTATTGCATACCTTCTCTGACGTGCCTGGACATCCACACCAACCGTTCTCTTCCACCCCTGGGCATGCATGGCTGACCCCTCTCATCATTCACCTCACACCATTCCCCTTTACTCCCTCACCCCATATCCCACACCAAACCCCCACTCCCTCCAACCCTTCCCCCCACATTCCCCCCCCATGCCCCCCCATGCCCCCCCATGCCCCCCCATGCCCCCCCATGCCCCCCCATGCCCCCCCATGCCCCCCCATGCCCCCCCATGCCCCCCATGCCCCCCATGCCCCCCCATGCCCCCCCCATGCCCCCCCATGCCCCCCCATGCCCCCCCATGCCCCCCCATGCCCCCCCATGCCCCCCCATGCCCCCCCATGCCCCCCCATGCCCCCCCATGCCCCCCCATGCCCCCCATGCCCCCCCATGCCCCCCCATGCCCCCCCATGCCCCCCCATGCCCCCCCATGCCCCCCATGCCCCCCCATGCCCCCCCATGCCCCCCCATGCCCCCCCATGCCCCCCCATGCCCCCCCATGCCCCCCCATGCCCCCCCATGCCCCCCCATGCCCCCCCCATGCCCCCCCATGCCCCCCCATGCCCCCCCATGCCCCCCCATGCCCCCCCATGCCCCCCCATGCCCCCCATGCCCCCCCATGCCCCCCCATGCCCCCCCATGCCCCCCCATGCCCCCCCATGCCCCCCCATGCCCCCCCATGCCCCCCATGCCCCCCCATGCCCCCCATGCCCCCCCATGCCCCCCCATGCCCCCCCATGCCCCCCCATGCCCATGCCCCCCATGCCCCCCCATGCCCCCCATGCCCCCCCATGCCCCCCATGCCCCCCCATGCCCCCCCATGCCCCCCCATGCCCCCCCATGCCCCCCCATGCCCCCCCATGCCCCCCATGCCCCCCCATGCCCCCCCATGCCCCCCCATGCCCCCCCATGCCCCCCCATGCCCCCCCATGCCCCCCATGCCCCCCCATGCCCCCCCATGCCCCCCATGCCCCCCCATGCCCCCCATGCCCCCCATGCCCCCCCATGCCCCCCCATGCCCCCCCATGCCCCCCCATGCCCCCCCATGCCCCCCATGCCCCCCCATGCCCCCCCATGCCCCCCATGCCCCCCCATGCCCCCCCATGCCCCCCCATGCCCCCCCATGCCCCCCCATGCCCCCCCATGCCCCCCCATGCCCCCCCATGCCCCCCCATGCCCCCCCATGCCCCCCCATGCCCCCCCATGCCCCCCCATGCCCCCCCATGCCCCCCCATGCCCCCCCATGCCCCCCCATGCCCCCCCATGCCCCCCATGCCCCCCCATGCCCCCCATGCCCCCCCATGCCCCCCCATGCCCCCCCATGCCCCCCCATGCCCCCCCATGCCCCCCCATGCCCCCCCATGCCCCCCCATGCCCCCCCATGCCCCCCCCATGCCCCCCCATGCCCCCCCATGCCCCCCCATGCCCCCCCATGCCCCCCCATGCCCCCCCATGCCCCCCCATGCCCCCCCATGCCCCCCCATGCCCCCCCATGCCCCCCCATGCCCCCCCATGCCCCCCCATGCCCCCCCATGCCCCCCCATGCCCCCCATGCCCCCCCATGCCCCCCCATGCCCCCCCATGCCCCCCATGCCCCCCCATGCCCCCCATGCCCCCCATGCCCCCCCATGCCCCCCCATGCCCCCCCATGCCCCCCCATGCCCCCCCATGCCCCCCCATGCCCCCCCATGCCCCCCCATGCCCCCCCATGCCCCCCCATGCCCCCCCATGCCCCCCCATGCCCCCCCATGCCCCCCATGCCCCCCCATGCCCCCCATGCCCCCCATGCCCCCCCATGCCCCCCCATGCCCCCCCATGCCCCCCATGCCCCCCCATGCCCCCCCATGCCCCCCCATGCCCCCCCATGCCCCCCCATGCCCCCCCATGCCCCCCCATGCCCCCCATGCCCCCCCATGCCCCCCATGCCCCCCCATGCCCCCCCATGCCCTCCCCCATGCCCCCCATGCCCCCCCATTGCCCCCCCATGCCCCCCCATGCTGCCCCCCCATGCCCCCCCATGCCCCCCCATGCCCCCCCATGCCCCCCCCATGCCCCCCCATGCCCCCCCATGCCCCCCATGCCCCCCCATGCCCCCCATGCCCCCCCATAGCCCCCCCATGCCCCCCCATGCCCCCCCCATGCCCCCCATGCCCCTCCATGCCACCCCATGCCCCCCCATGCCCCCCATGCCCCCCCATGCCCCCCCATGCCCCCCCATGCCGCCCCCATGCCCCCCATGCCCCCCCATGCCCCCCCATGCCCACCCCATGCCCCCCCATGCCCCCCCATGCCCCCCCAATGCCCCCCCATGCCCCCCCATGCCCCCCCATGCCCCCCCATGCCCCCCCATGCCCCCCCATGCCCCCCCATGCCCCCCCATGCCCCCCCATGCCCCCCCATGCCCCCCCATGCCCCCCCATGCCCCCCCATGCCCCCCCATGCCCCCCATGCCCCCCCATGCCCCCCCATGCCCCCCCATGCCCCCCCATGCCCCCTCTCCTTCCCCAATTCCAGACCTGGGCATGGCTCACTCCCCACATCTGTGCGCCCCACTCAGAGGACGAAGACCTTCCTGCTGACACGCACGAGCCGTGCCGTGAGTGGCATGCTGGGGATGCCTTGTGGAATCGGAATAGATGGATGGTGTAAGAATTGCCACGAGTGTGTGAGTGCAGTGCAGTATGCCCCTCTCAGCAGACGAAGACCTTCCTGCTGACACCCACAAGCCGTGCCGTGAGTGCCATGCTGGTGATGCCTTGCGGATAGATAGATGGACAGTGTTTGGATAGATGGTGGTGTGAGAATCTCCGTCTGTGTGTCGGTGTAGGCATGCCCTCTGACAGCTTGTATCCTGATGGTAAGGAGAATGGTGTCTCTGACTCTGCCGTCCGTCTGTATGATGAATCATGATGATATTGACGGTGATTATGATGGTGGGGTTGTGATCCTGATAAACACGGTGTGTGCTTCGCCGCCCTGCCCATGCTCCCTTCCCTCCCTCCCCAACCACAGTCCCTCCCATGCCTCGCAAGTCAATTCACTGTGTGATGTGAAGGATGCTCCCTTCCCTCCCCTTCCTCCCCAACCACAGTCCAGCCCATGCCTCGCAAGTCAATTCACTGTGTGAAGGACAACACCTCTTACACAACACTCACTGCCACGCCACGTGTCTCCTCTCATGTGCCCCTTTCCCCGCCACAGCTCCATGCCCCTTGGCTCAGGTCAATACCCTCTGGCACTTGTGTTGTGTGCTCCCTCCCCCCCTCCCCCACCCCCGCCCCACCCAAAGCCCCATGCCCCTCGGGTCAATGCGCGGTGGAAGACAGCACCACGCGCACCAGAATCTGCCACTTGCTTGTGTGCCCCCTTTCCCACAACCACAGCTAATTCTGCAACTTGTCTTGTGTGTTTGCTTCTCTTCCCCCTCCCACCAACCACAGCGCCATGCCCCTCGGGTCAATACGCAGTGGAGGAGAGCACTACTCGCACCAGACTCTGCCACTTTTCTTGTGTGCTCCCTTCCCCCCACCAGACACTTCTACCTGCTCCCTTCCCTTCCCCCCCCCCGCCCCGCCCACAGCGCCATGCCCCTCGGGTCAATACGCAGTGGAGGAGAGCACTACTCGCACCAGACTCTGCCACTTTTCTTGTGTGCTCCCTTCCTCCCACCAGACACTTTTACCTGCTCGATCCCTTCCCCGCCCCGCCCCACCCACAGCGCCATGCCCCTCGGGTCAATACGCAGTGGAGGACAGCACCACGCGCACCAGACTCTGCCACTTCTGCCCTCCGGTGAGTCTGGCTGCAGAGCGTGCGTGTGGTACATCTCCCACAGGCAAAGCGTGACACAATTTCCTTCCCAGGCCCCCAGGGAAGGTGGCAGTGAGGTGAGGGTGCTCTGAGCCGGCCCGCGGTGATATGGATTCCCCGTGGCGGCTCACCATGGAGCACTTTTAATCAGTGCTGCTCTGAACCTGTTTCCCGCAGCATTCCCTTTCCCCCTCTCCCCCGGAGGGCACTTGCGGTGCGGGGCCCTTCCCTTTTTCCATTCCGCAACTCGACATGGCAGGCCGCCTTGTAAGCCTGCTACAAGTCCCCCCCCCCCCCCCCTCCCCCCCCCCCCCCTTTCCCTTGAGTCGACTCAAAAGCTGCTTTTGAGTCGACTCAAAAGCTTTCCCATTCTGCAACTCGATATGGCAGGGCCTGGCAAGCCTGCTACAAGTCCCCCCCCCCTTTTCCCTTGAGTCGACTCAAAAGATGCTTTTGAGTCGACTCAAAAGCTTTCCCATTCTGCAACTCGATATGGCAGGGCCTGGCAAGCCTGCTACAAGTGCCCCCCCCCCTCCTCCTTCCCCCCTCCCCCTCTTCGGGGAAGGTGGCAGTGAAGGCCCCCTCACCTTGGACCACTTTGAGCTGCACTTTCCCACACGCCCTTCCTATCCCTCACAACCGCATACAACCCCACTCAACCCCATTTGCCAACCCCCTGGGCCTGTGATGCAACGCGCCGGTTTCCTCAACAAACAAGGCGTACCGCAAGTGTCCTCCGGGGGAGGTGGCAGTGAAGGCCCTCACCTCACCATGGACCACTCTGAGCTGCTCTGAACCGTTATCTGCTTCCCTCACTGTCGTCCCCCCTCGTCCCACTGCAACTTGCCATGACAGGGCCTGGCTCGCAACATTGCCACCTCTTCCACAAACAAGGCTTGCCGCAAGGCGTCCTCGGGGAGAGGTGGCAGCAAGGGCCCTCACCTCACCATGGACCACTTTGAGCTCCTTTTTTTCCAGCACTTTCACCTTTTTCCTTCCAAGGCACGCTTCGTGTTCCCCTCTCCCTTCCAATCACATGGCCTGGCACGAAATGCATCCGTTTCCTCAACAGGCAATGCCTGCCGCAAGTGTCTTCCGAGGAGGTGGCGGTAAAGGCCCTCACCATGGACCACTAAGAGCTCCCTCCTTCCAACACGCCCTTTCACATCTCCCCCACTCCGCCTCCCTCTTTCAAACCACAGGGCCTGGCAGGCACGAAATGCGTCCACCACTCCAACAGACAAGGCGTGCCGCAAGTGTCCCCCTGGGGGAGGTGGCAGTGAAGGCCCTCACCTCACCATGGACCACTTTGAGCTCCTTCCTATCACTTTGGCCCTATCCTCCTCCGTCCTTCAAATCGCAGGGCCTGGCGTGCAACGCGACCACCTCCTCAGCAAGCAAACCGTGCCGCAAGTGCCCCCCTGAGGAGGTGGCAGTGAAGGCCCTCACCTCACCATGGACCACTTTGAGCTGTTCTGAACCGTTATCTGCTTCCCTCACTGCTGTCCCCCCTCGTCCCACTGCAACTTGCCATGTCAGGGCCTGGCTCGCAATGCATCTACTTCCTCGGCAAGCAAACCCTGCCGCAAGTGCCCTCCGGGGGAGGTGGCGGTGAAGGCCCTCACCACGGACCACTTTGAGCTGCATGCCTCCCAAACGCCCTTTCTACATCTCCCTCCCTCCCACTCTCTACACCACTCTGCAGGGCCTGGCACGCAACGCCTCTGTGTCTAAAACAGACAAGGCGTGCCGCAAGTGCCCTCCGGGAGAGGTAGCGGTGAAGGCCCTTACCATGGACCACTTTGAGCTGCTCCCAACCTGCTTCCCTCACTCCCGTCCCCCCTCGTCCCACTGCATGTTGCCATGACAGGGCCTGGCTCGCAATGCGTCTTCTTCCTCGCCAAACAAACCGTGCCGCAAGTGCCCCCCAGGGGAGGTGGCGGTGAAGGCCCTCACCATGGACCATTTTGAGCTGCACCGGGGGAAGCTTCCTGACGGCTTCGTGACGGGGTGCAGTGGGGACTGCGGTTCTCTGGGGTGGAGAGTGGTGAACGGGAAGCTGGACTTTGGCAGCAACCACGGCAAGAGTGCCTCTGTAAGATGTGACTGTAGAGAGGTACCACCTGTCTCCTCACAAGCGGCTTGTGTTCACATGTTTTTACCCATTTTAAGTGTTTTGCTGCTGCATTGCACCTCATTGGACCATCTAGCTCCCTTCTCTCCCTCCTTCCATCACCTTCCCCCCCTTTTCTCAACAGTTCCCCCTTCCTCACCAGGTGTGGCTATCTATGACGTCAGCATGGCAGTGGACAGGCAGGCACGTCACATTCCCCTAGGACGTGGAAATACCACGGCACGGGCATACCTGCAGAGACAGCTGCTCTCCACCCTTTCTCTGCCTAGCATCACCGTCTCCCCCTCCTCTCTCATCTCATCCCCACCAGGTGTGGCTCTCGTATGACGTCAGCATGGCAGTGGACGGCCACGTCTCATTCGCCTACGACGTGGACATGCCACGGGGGGACCTGCAGAGGGGGCCGCTCGCTGCTCTTAATTCTCCTTCTCTCCTTTCCATCTCTCTCTCCTCCCCTATTCTCTACTGCATCAGTTGTGGCTGTCCTATGACGTCAGCATGGCAGTGGACGGGCACATCACATTCGCCTACGACGTGGACATAGCGCTTGGGCGAGGGATCTGAAGAGACAGCTGCTCTCCGCCCTTTCTCTGCCTAACATCACCGTCTTCCCCTCCTCTCTCATCTCATCCCCACCAGGTATGGCTGTCCTACGATGTGAGCATGGCAGTGGACGGGTACATCACATTCGCCTATGATGTGGACATACCGCGGGGGGACCTGCAAAGGGGTCTTTTCTTCTACGTGAATGACCAGCTGGTGCTGAACATCGAGGTGAGGGGGGGTGAGGTGGATTGCTATCCTGTTGACTCGAATCGAATGCAATCTGGGTGAAGGGGCAAGCAACCTGCAGCGAGGGCTCTTCTTCTATGTGGACGATCAGCTGGTGCTGAATATCGAGGTGAGTAGGGTTGTGCTGATACAGAGAAAGAAGGGGGGCTGTCACCCTGACCTGCAGAGAGGGCTCTTCTTCTATGTGGACGATCAGCTGGTGCTGAACATCGAGGTGAGCTCTGTGCCGTGTGTGGGTTGGGTTGGGGTTGTTGTACTGTGTTGACTCGGATGCGATATAGTGGATGTTTTTTGAGAATTCTCAAAAAACATATGCCGTGTGTGGGTTGGGTGGGGTTGTTGTACTGTGTTGACTCGGATGCGATATAGTGGGGCAAACCACCGCAACACTAGCAGCAAGCCACCTGCAGCGAGGGCTCTTTTTCTATGTGGATGCGACCACCTGGTTCTTAACATCAAGGTGAGGGAGGGTGGTTGGGCTGCCATCTGCTGACTCACATGCGACCTGCGCTGCATTGCAACGTTTGCCGCGAGCTGCAGAGAGGGCTTTTTTTTTTACGTGGATGACCAGCGGGTTCTTAAAGCTCAAGGCCCAAATTGCAGGACGCGCAGGGCAAGATTAGTAATCTTGTACACTTCTCGTTTTTTGCTGTATATTGGCGAAAATCTGGTTACGGTAGTTGCGACGCAATCTGATCGGTCGAAGCAACACTCACTGCCAAAACATCAAGTTTCACAACTCTGCAATTTGGGACTCGAGGTCCCCAAACGCACGCTCCCCCCTGAAGCTTGCCGCTGACTCAGCGAAAAGACAAGTGTTGCGGCGAAATCAGACAAGTCAACAACCCCCAACCCCCCAGCACCCAAACTTGCGCAAGATTACGATTGGGCCTTGAGCTTTAACATCGAGGTGGGTTGCACTGTACTGTTTTGAGACGTCTCAAAACACTTCTTCATAAAGATGGCTCTTCTTCTAAGTGGATGACCAGCGGGTTCTTAACATCGAGGTGGGTTGCACTGTACTGTGCTGTGCCGTGCCAACACTGGGGACGGGATAGCAGCTTCCACTAGTCACTGCTGCCACTCAACCCTGCGCAGAGAGGGCTTTTTTTTTTCCTTGGATGACCAGCTGGTTCTTAACATCGAGGTGGGTTGCACTGTGCTGTGCCAGTACAGGGAGGCCTTGTTATTGGCACTCTGACCTGTAGAGACGGTTGTTCTTCTACGCGGATGACCAGCTGGTGCTGAACATGGAGGTGAGGGGGGGTGTGGTGCGCCCAGCACTGGAGAAGGGAGATCTAAGTCCATTTCTTACTTACTGCTGCACCACTGCCACCTGCGACCTGCAGAGGGGTCTTTGATCGCACATGGATGATCCGCTGGCTGGTGCTCAACATCGAGGGGAGTTGTGCTGTGGCGTTGAGGCTTGCATCGAGGCAAGCTTTGAGCTGAGGCTTGCCCTCTTCTGCATCCATATTCAGTGTGTATGGATGCTAGTGTTGCATGCGGGCAAGCCTAGAACACCACTCAGCCCCGGGCTGCTAGTGTTGCATGCAGTGGCCAGCTAACCCCTTTCATTTCATCACATTATTATCCTCTTTATCCTCTCTATCCTCGTTATTATCGTCTCCACTGCAGGACGAGCAGGGTGCCGGCTCAGCGCCGGCCGGCCCGACAACCAGCGACACGTGGCCTCTGCCAGCTGGCAACCACAGTCTGATGTGGATCTGGGTCACGCTCAACGCTGACAAGGCGATCGCCAGGCGGGATTCTGCGGAGATCCTGGATATCACTGTGTGGGGCAGCACGGTGGGGGGCGCACCCACCTGTGTGCCCATTCCCCCCGGGACTGCTCCCGATCCCGCCACCCTCACCTGGAAGGCCTGTCCCCCTGGTACGTACGTCCTTGTAACAACCCATGGGCAAGGGACATCCTGGATATCACCGTGTGGGGCAGCACGGTGGGGGGCGCACCCGCCTGTGTGCCCATTCCCCCCGGCACCCGATCCCGATCCCGCCACCCTCACCTGGAAGGCCTGTCCCCCTGGTACGTCCTTGTAACAACCCATAGTCGGACTGCTAGTCGGACTGCTAGTCGGACTGCTAGTCTGACTGCTAGTCTGACTGCTAGTCGGACTGCTAGTCTGACTGCTAGTCGGACTGCTAGTCTGACTGCTAGTCGGACTGCTAGTCGGACTGCTAGTCGGACTGCTAGTCGGACTGCTAGTCTGACTGCTAGTCTGACTGCTAGTCGGACTGCTAGTCTGACTGCTAGTCGGACTGCTAGTCTGACTGCTAGTCGGACTGCTAGTCTGACTGCTAGTCTGACTGCTAGTCGGACTGCTAGTCGGACTGCTAGTCTGACTGCTAGTCGGAATGCTAGTCTGACTGCTAGGACTGCTAGTCGGAATGCTAGTCTGACTGCTAGTCGGAATGCTAGTCGGACTGCTAGTCGGACTGCTAGTCTGACTGCTAGTCGGACTGCTAGTCGGACTGCTAGTCTGACTGCTAGTCGGACTGCTAGTCGGACTGCTAGTCTGACTGCTAGTCGGACTGCTAGTCTGACTGCTAGTCTGACTGCTAGTCGGACTGCTAGTCGGACTGCTAGTCTGACTGCTAGTCGGAATGCTAGTCTGACTGCTAGTCTGACTGCTAGTCGGACTGCTAGTCGGACTGCTAGTCGGAATGCTAGTCTGACTGCTAGTCGGAATGCTAGTCGGACTGCTAGTCGGACTGCTAGTCTGACTGCTAGTCCGACTGCTAGTCGGACTGCTAGTCCGACTGCTAGTCTGACTGCTAGTCCGACTGCTAGTCTGACTGCTAGTCTGACTGCTAGTCTGACTGCTAGTCTGACTGCTAGTCTGACTGCTAGTCCGACTGCTAGTCTGACTGCTAGTCGGACTGCTAGTCGGACTGCTAGTCGGACTGCTAGTCGGACTGCTAGTCTGACTGCTAGTCTGACTGCTAGTCTGACTGCTAGTCTGACTGCTAGTCTGACTGCTAGTCTGACTGCTAGTCTTACTGCTAGTCTGACTGCTAGTCGGACTGCTAGTCCGACTGCTAGTCGGACTGCTAGTCCGACTGCTAGTCCGACTGCTAGTCTGACTGCTAGTCCGACTGCTAGTCCGACTGCTAGTCTGACTGCTAGTCGGACTGCTAGTCGGACTGCTAGTCGGACTGCTAGTCTGACTGCTAGTCCGACTGCTAGTCCGACTGCTAGTCTGACTGCTAGTCTGACTGCTAGTCTGACTGCTAGTCTGACTGCTAGTCTGACTGCTAGTCTGACTGCTAGTCTGACTGCTAGTCTGACTGCTAGTCTGACTGCTAGTCTGACTGCTAGTCTGACTGCTAGTCTGACTGCTAGTCTGACTGCTAGTCCGACTGCTAGTCTGACTGCTAGTCCGACTGCTAGTCGGACTGCTAGTCCGACTGCTAGTCGGACTGCTAGTCTGACTGCTAGTCCGACTGCTAGTCGGACTGCTAGTCTGACTGCTAGTCTGACTGCTAGTCTGACTGCTAGTCTGACTGCTAGTCCGACTGCTAGTCCGACTGCTAGTCCGACTGCTAGTCTGACTGCTAGTCTGACTGCTAGTCTGACTGCTAGTCTGACTGCTAGTCTGACTGCTAGTCTGACTGCTAGTCTGACTGCTAGTCTGACTGCTAGTCTGACTGCTAGTCTGACTGCTAGTCTGACTGCTAGTCTGACTGCTAGTCTGACTGCTAGTCTGACTGCTAGTCTGACTGCTAGTCTGACTGCTAGTCTGACTGCTAGTCTGACTGCTAGCATTCCATGCTGGGGGAGCCTCGGGGAGGCGCCTGCATGTGTGCCCATCCTTCCTGGAACTGCTCCCGACTCTACCACCCTCACATGGAAGGCCTGTCTCCCTGGTCGACCACTTAATCCCATCCTCTCTTCTCCTTTCCTCTCTTATCTCCTTTCCATCCCCCCATGTTCCCCTCTCCCTTTCCCCTTCCATCGCACTTGCTCATGTTCACCTGATTGTGACTGTGGCTGTGATTGTTTTTCATGTGTGTGACTGTATGAGCAGGAGAGTACAGCGAGGGATCGGGCCTGCCGTGTGTAAAATGCCCTGCCAACACCTTCAATCCAAGACCCAAGGTAATCCCTCCGCACTCCTCTGAACCCATGGTGGACCCTCTACACACCCTTTCAACTCCTTACAAATCCGTATCTACTCTCTCTTTCTACCTCTCCACAGATCTTGGTCCCGCATGAAGTGGGCTTGTATCTATCCCATTCTCATGCAAGAGCCATGTAGCCATGTAGCCATGTAGCCATCTAGCCATGTAGCCATGTAGCCATGTAGCCATGTAGCCATGTAGCCATGTACCCATGTAGCCATGTAGCCATGTACCCATGTAGCCATGTAGCCATCTAGCCATGTACCCATGTAGCCATGTTCAACTCACCTGCTCATTCTTGTAAAAAGTGATTTTTTTAGACGTCTCAAAAAATCCCTCTTTACGCTTGTATCTATCCCATTCTCATGCAAGAGCCATGTTGCCATGTTCAACTGACCTGCTCATTCTCCCTCCTGTGCCTGTTCGCCTCCCTAATCCGGCACCCCTTGGGTTCTTCTCCCATCCCTACTCCCTTTCCCCACCAGGGAACCCACTCCGCCTGCCTCCCCTGTGGCCCCGGCACCTCGTCCCTCCCAGCTTTGCTTCCATGCATGTGCTTGTCTTACCCACTCCAACTCTACTCCCATTCCCTCCCTTTCTCCTTCCCACCAGGGCACCCACTCCGCCTGCCTCCCCTGTGGCCCCAGCACCTCGTCCCTCCCAGCTTTGCTTCCATGCATGTGCTTGTCTTACCCACTCCAACTCTACCCCCATTCCCTCCCTTTCTCCTTCCCACCAGGGCACCCACTCCGCCTGCCTCCCCTGCGGCCCCGGCACCTCGTCTCTCCCTGGCAGCACGTGCCTCTATTCGTGTCCCTGCCAAAAACATCCCTCTTTTCCTTCCCACTTCACCTTTCCCCTTTCCACATCCAACCAGGGCACCCACTCCGCCTGCCTCCCCTGCGGCCCCGGCACCTCGTCTCTCCCTGGCAGCACGTGCCTCTATTCGTGTCCCTGCCAAATACATCCCTCTTTTCCTTCCCACTTCACCTTTCCCCTTTCCACATCCAACCAGGGCACCCACTCCGCCTGCCTCCCCTGCGGCCCCGGCACCTCGTCCCTCCCAGGCAGCACAGCTTGCACTGTTGGTGACGTCACTGTTCCCTCCTCCTTCTGCACCTTCCAAGTAGCTTCCGATCCAACCACCACCAGTAGCAGCAGCAGCAGCAGCAGCAACACCAACACCAACAGCACAAGTGGAACTAACACTACCACCACCGCCACCACCCCTTCCCCCTCCACTCCCTCCTCCTCCTCCCTCCCAATTTTCTACGATCTCTCCCCCCTTTCCCACGTCCATCCTGGCCGCATGTTCGGGCCGATATTCGAGGATCCAACGGCTGCGGATCGCCAGCACGGGCCACTATACTTTGTGTCAGTGTGTGCCGCACCTGCAGGGAGCACAGAGGAGGGGGAGAGAAAGGGGGGAAGCAGAGAAGGGGGGGAGGGTAAGGAGGGAGGCGGTAATGGGGAGGGCAAGGAGGGGAAGCAGGAGAAAGGAAGGGCGATGGAGTGTACTGATGCAGAAGGGAAGCCGGTAGCTACCATGGCATGTCGGGTGAGTCTGAATAACAGAAAGGAGTTGACTTTTGAGTCGACTCAAAAGAGTGATGGAGTGTACAGATGCAGAAGGGAAGCCAATAGTGACTATGGCATGCCGGGTGAGTCTCAAGTGGCATGAAGGAGTGGGAAGCGAGGAAGGATCAGAGGAAGGGAAGGGTGGAAAAGGGAGGAAATGGGAAAAGGAAGGGCGATGGAGTGTACTGATGGAGAAGGGAAGCCAATAGTGAGTATGGCATGCCGGGTGAGTCTCAAGTGGCATGAAGGAGTGGGAAGCGAGGAAGGATCAGAGGAAGGGAAGGGTGGAAAAGGGAGGAAATGGGGAAGGGAAGGGCGATGGAGTGTACAGATGCAGAAGGGAAGCCGATAGCGACCTTGGCATGTCGGGTGAGTTCTTTAAAGACAGAGGCGAGTGGGGGAGAGAGGAAGAGGGGGAGAAGAGGAATCAGGGAAAGAGAGGGATTAGGAGAAGGGAAGGGTGGTGGAGTGTACGGATCCAGAACGCAAGGAAAAAGCGACCATGGCATGTCAGGTGAGTTTTGAATAGGGTGAAAAAAATGTCAGCCAGCCTGAAACTCATCAGAAACTGGCCATTTCCAGTTTCTGAAACTCATCAGAAACTGGCCATTTCCAGTTTCTGAAACTCATCAGAAACTGGCCATTTCCAGTTTCTGAAACTCATCAAAAACTGGCCATTTCCAGTTTCTGAAACTCATCAGAAACTGGCAGCGCACTAAACTTTTTGTCGACTCAAAATAAGGAAGGTAGCTCACTTAACCAAGAAGACCCAGTGTGATCAAGAGAACTCTTGATGCCATCCCCCCTTTCACGCCCTCCTCTCCTTCTCTGTTGCACTCGGGTGAATTCTCATAAAATTCTGGACGAGTTGCAATAAGTAGATGTGCCCTGCCTTCATTCCTCTTCCACTGCCTCCTCCCCTTGTCTGTTGCACTCAGATGAATCCTCAGGTGATGCTGGAAGAATGGCATATGAGAGAACAACTGTGCCCTGCCTTTATTCCCGTCTCCGCTCCTCCTTCCCTTCTCTGTTGCGCTCAGGTGAATCCTCAGGTGATGCTGGAAGAATGGCATATGAGAGAACAACTGTGCCCTGCCTTTATTCCCGTCTCCGCTCCTCCTTCCCTTCTCTGTTGCGCTCAGGTGAATCCTCAGGTGATGCTGGACGAGCAGCACAGAGGATCCCACAGTCTAGGAGACCGGGTCTCCCTCTTCCCCCTCTTTCCCCTCTCGGACCCTCCAAACGCCACCGACCCCCTTGCCCAGCGCCCAGACCCTATTCTTGCGCGGAGGGGGCTGGTGATGGTGCTGGAAGGGGAGAGATGCCCCTTCTCCATGCAGGGGGGAGGGGGGGAGCAGAGCAGGTGGGGGATGGGGGGAGATGCGGAGAAGGGGAAGGGGAAGGGGAAGGGGAAGGGGGAAGGCGGGGAGGAGAAGTATGGACGGCTTACGATCACTTTCATTTGTGACCCTAATGCAGGTGAGGGGGGTGGGGGTGGTGGGTGTGTGAGAGTAACAGGAGGGAGAGTGGCAATGCCACCATGGGAGAAAAGGGAGAGGTATGGATGGCTGATGATCACATTCATCTGTGGCCCGCGAGTCTCTGACATTTCGAGCCTTCATCAGTGCCAAGAGGAGAGGTATGGATGGCTGATGATCACATTCATCTGTGGCCCGAATGCAGGTGAGTGAAAAGAAGGAGGACTGTGAGTGTTTGTGACTAGCAGGAGGGAAATAGGCACTGGTAGCATAGGAGAACGGGGAGGAGAGGTATGGGCGGCTGACGATCACGTCCATCTGTGATCCTAATTCAGGTGAGCGCAAGGGGAAGGGGGAAGGGAGGGGGGGTTGACTGTGTGAGACTAATAGGAGGAGGGAGAGTGGCAGGGCCAGCATGGGTGGGCGGAGAGGAGAGGTGTGGGAGGCTGACGCTCATGAATGGATCAGTTGAAGGATAGGAGGGGGATGGCACGAGATCAGGAGGACAAGACGAAAGTGGTGGTGTTACTGCGAGCATGGGAATAGATTGGTTGGTTTCTTCATATACATCACCTATAGTTCTGCAAACCAGGCATCCAACCTTCCGTTCTGCCCCACTCTGCTGCAGGGTGTTTTTGAGAATTCTCAAAAACACCCTGCAGAATCATATGCATCGCCTATAGTTCTGCAAACCAGGCATCCAACCTTCCGTTTTGCCCCACTCTTGCCTCCTCCTTCCCTCTTCTTGCAGCCCCCAATCTCCTCTCTTCCCTCCCCCTCCCAGGCATCGGCCACCCCTCTGTCTGGACAGAAGAAGGCAGGCGGGCAGCATTCAACGCGTCCCTGCCCTTCCCCGCGTGGACCAAGCGATGAGGCGACTCAGTCCCCGTCACGCAGGGGGGAGGCGATGGGATGGTGCCGGGCTGTGCGTATGAGCTGGCGTGGTACAGTGCATACGCGTGCCCTCTGTGCTCCGAGGGTGATGTGGAAGAGGTTCCAGTGGCAGACTGCCATAACAACAAGCGATCCACGTTCAAGTATCGCCATCCAAGGGTGAGTGTGGGTTTGTGTGGGGGAGGCGACGGGGTGGTGCCGGGGTGTGTGTATGAGCTGGTGTGGTATAGTGCCTATGCGTGCCCGCTGTGCTCTGAAGAAGACGTGGAGGAGGTGCCAGTGGCCGACTGCCATAACAACAAGCGGGCAACTTACAAGTACAGGCATCCACGGGTGAGTCTGTGAGGCAATACAGGGAAAACAAAAAGGGGCTACAGGGTAATGGAGGGTGTGTGTGTATGAGCTGGCGTGGAACAGCGCGTATGCATGCCCGCTGTGCTCCGAGGGGGATGTGGAGGAGGTTCCAGTGGCAGACTGCCACAACAACAAACGATCCACTTACAAGTACCGGCATCCGAGGGTGAGTGTGTAAGCAGCATCGGGTGGTGCCGGGGTGTGCGTATGAGCTGGCATGGTACAGTGCCTATGTGTGCCCGCTGTGCTCTGAGGAAGATGTGGAGGAGGTGCCAGTGGCGGACTGTCGTAACAACAAGTGATCCACATTTAAATATCGCCATCCAAGGGTGACTGTGAGTATGTATTATATAATCCCAGCGGTCAAGAAGGGAGAGAGGGAGGCGGTGGGTTGGTGATGGGTTGGTGCTGGGTAGGTGCACCCTTCACAATGGCCCCTCTGACAGTGTCACCCTGGCGCCTTCTGAGGTTCCTCAAAAGGCGTCTTCTGAGGCTCCTCAAAAGGCGTCTTCCGAGGCTCCTCAAAAGGCGTCTTCTGAGGCTCCTAAAAAGGCGTCTTCCGAGGCTCCTCAAAAGGCGTCTTCTGAGGCTCCTCAAAATTCGTCTTCTGAGGCTCCTCAAAATTCGTCTTCTGAGGCTCCTCATAGGTGCACCCTTCACAATGGCCCCTCTGACAGTGTCACCATGGCGCCTCAAAACGCTTTGGCCCTGCCCCCTTCTAGTCCTCTTCCATTTCTGCTCTCTCCTGTATCCATGCTCTTCCCTTACCCCCTCCCTTTCCTCACCGCCAGGTATGTCAGCCCAACGCCCAGGCGCCTCTCCCTCCCGACCAGCTATGCTCCCCATGCACTGCAGACGACTACAGTAGCTTCGAGCAAAGCTGCACTGACAGCACAGGCAACCACAACGTCTCCTACTCTTGGAACCTGCCCAAAAACTGCAGCGAGAACCTGCCCGGGGCAGTGAAACTGCCCGGAAATATTATTGTTGGAGAGTGCCTGTTCCAGGTTCGCTACATCCCGACGAAATACCTCGCTCCGAAATACATAATAATCACAGCGGCTGGAGCTACTATAATTGTGATGCTGGCGGTGATGTCGGTGGTAACCTGGTTACGCAGCAGGAGAGTGTATTCTATGTACTCCCAGCTGGTGGCAGAGGAAGTACAACTGGAAGCGGAACTGGCAGCCATGGCTGAGGAGGCGGACCAGGAGAGGGAAGATATGCTTTTCAACCGAGACACTAGTTACCCATCATAACGTGACGTCTTAAAAAGAGGATAAGGCTGCGAGGTGCGTGCAAATGGTAGTAAAGGAAGTTCAGCTGGTGGTAGGTCTGGCAGCCATGGCTGAGGAGGCAGACCAAGAGAGGGAGAAGTCATGCTTTTTAATCGAGACCCTAGCTACTCCTCATAACGTGACGTCCTATAAGGAGGATCATTCTCAAGGCACTTGCAGGTGGTGGCAGAGGAAGTGGAGGTGGAGGCGGAGCTGGGCTGGCAGCTATGGCTGAGGAGGAGGCAGACAGGAAGAGGGAGGATATCATTCCATGCTGTTCAACTGAGAGAGAACCATACTGCACAGGTGGAGGACATGTGATTGCCTTGACTTGTGATTGGATACTGATACCTTTTCTGAACACACCAGGTCACCAAACCCTTGTGCAGCTCCAGTGAGCATCCTCTTGCATCATACGGTGCCGTAGGAATCACAAGCTTCCCAAGAGTCTCTTCAGCATGGATGGTAAACGTCATCTCATCACTGAAACGGCCACTTTTACATTGCTGAATATTCCAAATGATTGATTTCAAGTCCTGTTCATGTACTGTACTCTTGAACATCCCTGTACATCTGACACACCATGTCACTTCACATGCACCTTACAAATATCCTCATAATCAATCTTGGGGATCACCCTCCCATCGAAAGCGCCCTTCTGAATTTCTACCTTCGCACAAAACCTCTCCGTGTCAACTCCGACCAGCTTTGCCAAGGAACCCCTGTACGCCCCATTCACAACCCTCACCACCCCTCCAATCTGAGGCAGCACCGTTTCCAACTCCTCCTGATCCACCCGCACCACATGCCCCTCCTCCAGTGTCTTAATCTCACCAACGTATCTATCAATCACACGCAGCACCACGCCTTTCTGCTTGTAATACCCTTTCTCCTTGAGAGCTTTACTCATAATCTTCACCACAATGCCCTCTGTAAGCCAATAGTCCTTCCGATTCGCCCTCTCCTTCGCCCTCTCCTGCTCTTCCATTAACGCTGCTAGGGTTCCCCCAGCGGCCCTGCCAGCACCTGATTTGGACCCTTTATTATCCTCATTCTCCCCACCTCGCCGCGCCTTTTTCCCCACCGCAACCCCATCACCATCCCCATCAGCATCGTCATCATCATCGTCACCAAACACCTGAGCTCCAGTTTTACTCTCCACCTGTAAACCACCAGCACCAGCGCCACTTGCTACTGCTGCTGCTGCTGCAGCACTGCTCCCACCTGCCTTCTGCGCTCCAGACGACCCTCCCCCTCCACCTCCTCCCCCCAACCCTCCGAACGCAAACGCGATTTTCTCTCCCGCGTTGGGATCACGCTGGAGAACGTTTTTATCCGGATCCGCATCCTTCGCCTCCGCATCCTCCGGTTCCTGCTGCTTCGATCTCGCCCGTTCGATCTGCTCCTGAATCTCCTTCTCGTGTCGCTCCTCTCCCACCAGCTCCGCGCGTTCCCGCTTCTTCTTCTGCCCTTCCTTAAACAGCGTTTCCGGCTCGCGATCGATATACGATATAAACCAGCCCTTGGGAGTGTCCTCGACTTTGCAGAGACCTTCCCTGCCGAGATGCTTGACGAATTCCGTTAACGTCAGCCACTTGGTGGAGTTCATGTGGACGTGGTGCCGGTCCGCGATGTACTCGTTATAAGCCACCGTCGCGGCCACGCGGCTGAACCTGTGACTACGTCGAATGTGCTCCATGAATGTTTTCTCGAATTCCTCCGAATAGCCTCCCACGAATCGCTCTGGGTTCATGCCGAAAACCTGCATCTGCCGCTGATGGCCTTCCGACATACAGTGGCACTTAAAGCCATTCTCGTCGCGGCACTGCTTCTGACACATCTGGCAGTACCATCGCAGCTTCTGCAATCCCTTGGCTTTAATTCGATTCGCGATGGCCTTCGGAGTAAGAAATCCATTCTTACCCATGGCTCCCTACCTCGCAGAATTTAACCAGCTGCCTTTTCTTGACGGTGCCTTGGCTTGATTGGTGGTAAGGAGTACACGCACTCTCTATTCTTGCGGAATAGGTCGTCTAGCGATGAAAGGGTACGAGCGGCAATAGTGTCGAGTCGACGCAATAAAGATGCGACAGGTGTATCAGCTTCGTGTCCGCACACTAAGCGATCTTTTTCACGGTGTACAGACAGGCACGGAATGAGGGTGGTAGGGGGTGAAGCAACTGTGTGCGTGTGAGAAGCTCCTAAAACTTGAGTAAGGTGTTACTCGCAATTTGTCTGCTTGAATGGATTATGAAACTCAAGGAACTACACCAGGGCTTGTTCTACGAGCGGCTGATAACAAAATGACACGTTACAGCAGTTGTGCGAAACGAGAATCTTGGTGATGCGACTTGATCTACGCGTACGTTGCGCAGAATGACACCTTGTTGACCTCAAGCACCTCTGCTCATGTGAACCCGAACTTCCACATGCCATCTAAAATGTGAACGGGACATTCTTCCACTCATTCGCTCCACCTGGTTAGTTCCAAGCTTTCAACCAGTAACGCAGCACGGCGAAGTTACCAACTCTCGCGAGGATCTAGCGAGTTTTCGCAAGCAATTGGAAAAGTAGAGCATACTAGCACTCCACCAGCTGCTGCGACATGTTTATTCAGTAACGCATGGCTTGCTTCGCCTTCAGCCAGCTACACAAGCCTCACGTATAGCCGTTGCGTTGCACGCGGCGAGCTAGGAGCACCTGGGGGGCCGCGAAACTTGGTACCTTAGGAAACGCTCGAAACACAATACAAGCTTCAAGAGCGGTCGAAATCCTAGAGATAACCACAATCTCTGAACATACTACTCGCCTTTCCGCAGCGGCTATGCGCGCCGAGCCTGGCGATCCAGGATCGCAAAACAGCGAAAGCGACGATGAACGAATCGCCGCGACTACCAGCGCGGCTGGTGCTGCTGCTGGTGGAGGTTCCGTGTTCGTGACGGTGGGTACGACGCGGTTCGACGCTCTGGTAGAAGTGGTGGACAGCCGCGAGTGCCGCGCGGCGCTGAAGCAGCGAGGGTTCACATCCGTGGTGGTGCAGCGGGGGCGAGGCACGTACAAACCAGCCGAGGTATGCGCGGGACGGGACGTACAACCCTGCCGGGGTTCGTTGCGGGTATGGTTCCTTGTTCACTGCAGGGAATGTCGCGTGGCGCTGAAGAAGTGCGGCTTCACCTCCGTGGTGGTGCAGCGAGGGCGAGGGACGTACAAACCAGCCGAGGTATGCTCTGCGAGGGATGTTTCCGTGTTTTCACCTTTGAGAGTGTAACAGAGCAGAGCCCCCTCTCGAGCAGCGCAGGTTAACATCCCTGGTGGTGCAGCGAGGACGAGGAACGTACAAACCGGCCGAGGTATGCGCGGGAAGGGATGTGCAAGCCTGCTTAGTCGAGGGAAGGGTTCTTGTTGGCGCCGCGTTGAAGCATCGCGGCTTGACATCTGTGGTGGTGGTGCAGCGGAGCCAAGGCACGTACAAGTCTGCTGAGCAGTTGAGGTATGAATGGCAAGGATTTCCACGCGTTCGCCGAGGCGCATCAAAAGTAGCTGCAGTGTCTTTTACGGAATCTTTGTAGAGCAGCCAAGAATCCGAACAGTGTGGTTTCACCTTTATGGTGGTGCAGCGAGGGAGAGGGAACTCAGGTGTGGCAGTAACGAGTTTTTTTGAGCGGGATCTCTGTTATTTCTGTGGTGTCTCTTCTTCGCTCCTTGTTGTGTGTCAAGATGGCGGGGCGACCTTGACAGCGCAGGCGTGACTGTAAGGTGCACGGATGTGACTGTAACGAGTTTGAATGGATTTTCTATGATTTCTGTGGTGCCTCCTTTGTGCTCCTCGCTGTGTGTCAAGATGACAGGGCGACCCTGACAGCACGGGCGTGACAGTAAGCAAAAATCAAGCGGGATTGCTGTGTGTCAAGAGTTGATCTCGTGATTGTTGGGATTGTTGTGATTCTTATGATGCCTCCCTTGTGCTCCTCGTTCTCGTTGTGTGTCAAGGTGGCAGGGCGACCCTGACAGCACGGGTGTGACTGTAACGAGCTTCGAGTTCGCTCCCTCCATGGCACCCTATATCAAACAAGCATCCCTCGTTATAAGCCACGCAGGTAAGCTCGCTTACTTGCACTATATGCCGTGCAGGCAGTCGGAAGAACCACTGTCATGTTCTTTTATCTGCCCGCCCGCTACACTGTACTGTGGTGGTGTCTTTTGAGTCGGCTCAAGATTCCTTTTCTGCTGTTGTTGAAATCATTGGAATCATTGGAATCATTGGAATCATTGGAAGATCAAACCCAGAGAAAGCTGGCATTGTCACTGGCAGACAGACAGGCAGGCAGCACCTGGTGCAGGCCATACTTGTGAGAATGACCCATCCTTCTTCTCCTCCTCCCCCTCTCACCTTTCCTGCCTCCCTTCTCTGCCTCCCCTCCCCCCTTCCTCTCCTCCCTGCCTCCCCTGCTCCCCCCCACCCTTCCCCTCTCTCCCTCCTCCTCCACCCCCTCTCCTCCTCCCCCTCCTCCTCCTCCTCCTCCTCCTCCTCCTCCTCCTCCTCCTCCTCCTCCTCCTCCTCCTCCTCCTCCTCCTCCTTCTCCTCCTCCCCCCCCCTCTCCTCCTCCTCCTCCTCCTCCTCCTCCCCCCCCTCTCCTCCTCCTCCTCCTCCTCCTCCTCCTCCTCCTCCTCCTCCTCCTCCTCCTCCTCCTCCTCCTCCTCCTCCTCCTCCTCTTCCCCTTCTCCCCCTCTTCTCCCCTCCTCCCTCCCCCCACCCCTGCTTCCCCACAGGCTCAGGCAGCATATTCGAGGCGCTGAGGGCGAGCAAGTCGCTGGTGGTGGTGGGAGCACCCATGACCCTTCCCTCCTCTCCTTCCCCACTTCATGCCCCCGTCTCTCTCTCTCTCCTCCTTCCATCTATCCCCTCATACCCCCCAGGCTCAGGCAGTATATTCGAGGCGCTGAGAGCGAGCAAGCCGCTGGTGGTGGTGGTGAACGGGGCTCTCATGGACAACCACCAGAGGGAGCTCGCAGGGGCGCTGGCGGACAGGCAGCACCTGGTGCAGGCGGTACCTGAGAGACTCACCCATCCCGCCTCGCCTCTCCCTTCCTCCTTCCCCCCCTCCTCCTCCTCCTTCCCTCCCCGCTCCTCTCCTCCTCCCTCCCCCCTTGGTTCACACAGGCTCAGGCAGTATATTCGAGGCTCTGAGAGCAATCAAGCCGCTGGTGGTGGTGGTGAACGGGGCTCTCATGGACAACCACCAGAGGGAGCTCGCAGGGGCTCTCGCAGCCAGACAGGCAGCATCTGGTGCAGGCGGTACCTGTGATTCTGAATCATCCTGCCTCTCCTTTTCCCCTCCTCATCCCCTCCTCCCTCCTTCCCCCCCTGCTCCTCCTCCTCCTTCGTTCTCCTTCCCCCCACCCCTTATACCCCCCAGGCTCAGGCAGCATATTCGAGGCGCTGAGGGCGAGCAAGCCGCTGGTGGTGGTGGTGAACGGGGCTCTCATGGACAACCACCAGCGGGAGCTCGCAGGGGCGCTGGCGGACAGGCAGCACCTGGTGCAGGCGGTACCTGAGAGCCTGGTTGCTACAGTGAGGGAGATGGATTTGGAAGGGCTTGTACCGTACCCACCACCGGAGGCTGAGAAGTATGCTCAAGCGATAGATGCCTTTCTGGGGTTTTGAGTTGACTGAAAAGGCTTGTGATGCAGGCAGCACTTGGAGCAGTCACCACCTGGTGCAGGCCGTACCTGCCAGCCTGGTTGCTACAGTGAGGGAGATGGACTTGAAAGGGCTTGTACCGTACCCACCACCAGAGGCTGAGAAATATGTTTAAGCGATCGATGCATTTCTGGGCTTTTGAGTTTACTTTCATAGAAAGCATGTGGTGCAGGCAGTACCTGCACCACAGTGAGGGAGATGCATTTGGAAAGGCTAGTACCGTACCTTCTACCCGCCACCAGAGGCTGAGAAGTATGCTCAAAGCTGGATGAGTTTCTGGGGTTTTAAGTTGACTCAAAAGGCATGTGGTGGTGCAGGCAGCAGTACCTCGTGCAGGCCACAGCCGGTGCAGGCGGAACCTGCCAGCCTGGTTGCTACAGTAAGGGAGATGGTTTTGGAAGGGATGGTTTTGGAAGGGCTAGTTCCTTTACCCACCACTAGAGGTTGAGCAGTATGCTCAAGCGCTGGATGTGTGCGTTTCTAGGGTTTGCGTGAAAGTGTTTTGACTTTTGTGGGTTTGCTTTTCTGCTCCATGCTATTCACGAAACGGAAGCATTCCCTATTGCAGTATAAAGCAGGAGTCACTGTTTCTCCTCGTAGAACTGTACACATTCTGATTGCACTTTATTGAGCAAGTGCTTTGCTGTTTACAGGGACTTACTACTGGTTATACAGCGGATGATGCTGGTACCGTAAAAGGGGTACTGCTTGCCGCACCCAACCTACCCTACCAAAGACCCTGCACTACTGTAGCACCATGCTACTCATGCCGAATTGCACTGAGATTGCAGTGTGTATGGAAGAATGGACTAGCCTAGCCTAGCCAAGCCACACTCTAGTACGGTAGTAATGGCTAATTTGCATCGTTGCCGCGTAAGTCAGTGTGCTGCCGTATTATGGACTTGCGACATGATTGCATTGCAATCAATGCCGTGCCGTGGCACTATCTCGCACAATACAGTTCAGGTTTATCGGCCCCCTCCTGTACCTTGCGAGTGAATCACATCAGCAGGGTCTCCACTGATTGGCCGGGGCCCTGTAGGTCACTGCAGCGGTTGTATGGGGAGAGGGATGCATGGAGAGAGGGAAGAGGAGAAAGGAGAAGTGTGGATGGACGGATTTTGAATCGCATCAGCAGGGTCTCCACTGATTGGCCGGGCCCCTGTAGGTCACTGCAGTGGTTGTATGGAGAGAGGGGAGGGATGAGGAGAGATGAGAGAGATGGGTAGTATTATCGTGCACAATACAGTTCACGTTTGCGTGAATCGCATTAGAAGGGTCTCCACTGATTGGCCAGGGCCCTGTAGGTCACTGCAGTGGGATGCATGATGAGAGGGGATGCATGGGGAGAGGGGAGAGAGGAGGAGAGCGAACGGAGAAATGAGTGATAATGAGTGAAATTCCCAGACACACACACACACAAGGTAGAGCCCTAGCTAGCCTAGAGGCCACATGGCCAGGGCACTACTGCCCCACACGCCCCACACGCCCCACACGCCCCACATGGGCTGCACGCCAAACAGCGCCTGGAAGCGATGCTCTGCACACATCCACCATGCATTGCCCACACAACTCCTGTCCTACATGCCCCCCACACGTACACTAAGTAAGGCTGCAGGTCTACAAGGCCCACATGGGCTGCACGCCGAACAGCGCCTGGAAGCGATGCTCTGCACACATCCACCATGCATTGCCCACACAACTCCTGTCCTACATGCCCCCCACACGTACACTAAGTAAGGCTGCAGGTCTACAAGGCCCACATGGGCTGCACGCCAAACAGCGCCTGGAAGCGATGCTCTGCCGTGGCTGGCAGCTGGTCGCTGGGCAGAAAGCGCAGCCACGTGTTCCCACGCTCACACTCCAGTTCCTCCCAGAGGCCACATGGGCTGCACGCTGAACCGGGCCTGGAAGCGACGCTCTGCACGCATTTAGCACGCATGCCCCACACACTACCTGCCCTGCATGCCCACACAACTTGCCCTAGGCGCCCCACACCACCCCGCACCAGATACTTACATGAGATAAGGCTCCAAATCTCCAAGGGCCCACATGGGCTGCACGCTGAACAGCGCCTGGAAGCGGTGCTCTGCCGTGGCTGGCAGCTGGTCGCTCGGCAGAAAGCGCAGCCACGTGCTCTGTGCCCCCCCCAACGGCTCACACTCCAACTCCTCCTCCGTTTTCCCAGCTCCTATCGCTGCTGCTGCTGCCGCCGCGGCTGCTGCTGCTGGGCCCCCCACGTGTTGCAGGATTGCCAGCCCTCTCAGCCACGTGGCGTCCAGCGATTGGGCCATGGCGGGAGGGACCTTCTTTGCCCATGCTTCCATGAAGGCAGAGAGGCGCCAGCGCGTGCCTGCAGAGGTGCACATGAAGGAGGGAGGAGGATAAAGAAAGCGTGGATTTACGCGATTGAGCCATGGTGGATGGGACCTTCTTTGCCCATGCTTGCATGAAGGCAGAGAGGCGTCAGCGAGTGCCTGGGGGAGAGTGTTTGGAATGCAGCAAAGGGATGTATGGTGGTGCACATGAGTTTGAAGGGGCACATAAATCATGTATCAATGGTTGGTGGGTGGGACCTGCTTTGCCCATGCTTCCATGAATGCAGAGAGGCGCCAGCGCGTGCCTGGGGGAGAGTATTTGCATGAGAGGTTGAGGAATGGTGCACTTCGGTTTAGAGGGGTGTGAAGTGGTATAGCAGTGGCGGGATGCACCTTCTTTGCCCATGCATCCGTGAAGGCAGAGTGGTGCCAGCAAGTGACTGCGGGGGAAGGGTTGTCAAAGGAGGCAAAGGGGGGCTTCGCAAGGGATGGTGTGCAGGCAGGCATGGGCGCGTGGGAAGCCACTGATTTGCCATGCGTGCATGAAGGCAGAGTGGCGCCAGCAAGTGCCTGGGGGGGAAAAGGGTTGTCAAAAGCGATGCCTGCCTGAGGCAAAGGGAGGCTTCGCAAGGGATAGTGTGCTGTGCAGGCAGGCATGGGACGCGTGGAAAGCACCTGCTTCGACCATGCGTGCATGAAAGCAGAGTGGCGCCAGCAAGTGACTGCGGGGGAAGAGTTGTCAAAGGAGGCAAAGGGAGGCTTCGCAAGGGATGGTGCGGGCATGGACTTTTGAGACGTCTCACAAGTCGGGCATGGATTTTTGAGACGTCTCAAGAGTGGCACCAGCGAGTGCCTGTGGGAGAGGTTTGTCAAAAGGGATGCGTGCCTGAAGCAAAGGGAGGTTTCGCAAGGGATGGTGTGCAGGCAGGCAGGCATGGGACGCGCGTGGGAAGCACCTGCTTTGCCATGCGTGCATGAAAGCGGAGTGGCGCCAGCGCGTGCCGGCAAAGGTGGGTGCATGTGATGTGAGGGAGGAGAGGGGATAGGGAGATGTACATGTGAGGGATGAACAGGTGCTGGGAACAGGGAAAGGAAAAGGGAACAGCAGCTGGGAGAGGGGTACCTGATTCCAGGAGCTGCCTGGCGTAGTGGCGACACACCTTGCCTCTCATCCATGTAAAGGCGAGGGGTTTAGCGTTTTAGGGGTTTAGGGGTAAGGAAAAGGGAAGTGCGGCGGGAAAGGGGGTACCTGATTCCAGAAGCTGCCTGGCGTAGTGTCGACACACCTTCCTCTCATCCAACTCCCACCACACACACTCCCCCCCTTCCCGTCCTCCACCATCCCCTCCCTCTCCTCTCCCACACTCTCTTTCCACCCCTCCATCCTCCCCAACCCCCCCACTCCCCCCCACTCTGACGCTCCTGGCCTCCTCCCACTCCTCTCTCCTCCCCTTTCTCCTCCTCTTACCAAAAACTTTCAGACTGTGCCTCACCAGCTCTGCCCTGGGACCCTCCCTTCTCTCCCCCTCCTTCTCTCCCCTTTCCCCCTTTCCCCCCATCCCCTCCCCCTCTTCCCCCGTTTCCCCCTCCCCCTCCCGCTTTTCTCCCGTTCCCCCCTCCCCCTCCCCCCCTTCCCCGCACATGGCAGCCACGGCATCAGCCTCGGGAATGGCACGTGGCGGCCAGTCATTGGCTGCTGACGTCAGCAGCAGCAGGTGGAGGAGCGAGGCGAGGTATGCGGGATCGACGCTGCGCCACGTGTCACCGATCTATTGGTCGATAGTTGGGCGGGTGAGGGTGCAGCAGCATGTGGGTGAGGGCATGGGAAGAGGCATGGGAGGATGGGGAGAGAAGGGATGTGAGAAAAGTGGGAAGAATGGCCTCAATTATGGGAAGAGGCATGGGGATGTGAGAAGAATGGAGAGGGATGGAAAGGAGGAGTGAGGAGAAAGCGATGGGGAGAGGGGGGAGAAGAAGAAGCAAGGAAAAAGTTGCCTTTTTGAGTTGAGGGCTTAAGACTAGTGACTGGTGAAACAGTGCAGTTTTGAGACGTCTCAAAATGAGACTAGTGACTGGTGAAACAGTGCAGTTTTGAGACGTCTCAAAATGAGACTAGTGACTGGTGAAACAGTGCAGTTTTGAGACGTCTCAAAATGAGACTAGTGACTGGTGAAACAGTGCAGTTTTGAGACGTCTCAAGGTGGTTCATGTCTCAAGGTGAAACAGGCATGAACCACCAGTGCACCAGTGCAAACTGCAAGCTCTCTGAACCACCTTCAGCCCGTTTCCTGCCTGCCTGCCTGCGTGCGTGCCTGCCTGCCTGCCTGTGTGCCTGCCTGCCTGCCTGCCTGCCTGCCTGCCTGCCTGCCTGCCTGCCTGCCTGCCTGCCTGCCTGCCTGCCTGCCTGCCTGCCTGCCTGCCTGCCTGCCTGCCTGCCTGACTGCCTGCCTGCCTGCCTGCCTGCCTGCCTGCCTGTATGCCTGCATGTAGCACGCGTGAATTCACTTGCACATGACTGGTGCGATATCTACCAGTCACCAGCTGCTACTTCTCTCCTTACACTTTCTCTTCACCGCTCTCCACCCATTGCACTGCTCTCTGCACCCATTGCACCACTCTTTGCACCCATTGCACCGCTCTCTGCTCTGCACCCATTGCACCGCTCTCTGCACCCATTGCAACGCTCTCTGCACCCATTGCACCGCTCTCTGCACCCATTGCACCCCTCTCGGCACCCATTGCAAGGCTCTCTGCACCCATTGCACCGCTCTCTGCACCCATTGCACCGCTCTCTGCACCCATTGCACCGCTCTCTGCACCCATTGCACCGCTCTCTGCACCCATTGCACCCATTGCACCGCTCTCTGCACCCATTGCACCGCTCTCTGCACCCATTGCACCGCTCTCTGCACCCATTGCACCGCTCTCTGCACCCATTGCACCGCTCTCTGCACCCATTGCACCGCTCTCTGCACCCATTGCACCGCTCTCTGCACCCATTGCAAGGCTCTCTGCACCCATTGCACCGCTCTCTGCACCCATTGCACCGCTCTCTGCACCCATTGCACCACTCTCTCCACCCATTGCACCGCTCTCTGCACCCATTGCACCGCTCTCTGCACCCATTGCACCGCTCTCTGCACCCATTGCACCGCTCTCTGCACCCATTGCACCGCTCTCTGCACCCATTGCACCGCTCTCTGCACCCATTGCACCGCTCTCTGCACCCATTGCAAGGCTCTCTGCACCCATTGCACCGCTCTCTGCACCCATTGCACCACTCTCTGCACCCATTGCACCGCTCTCTGCACCCATTGCACCGCTCTCTGCACCCATTGCACCGCTCTTTGCACCCATTGCACCGCTCTCTGCACCCATTGCAACGCTCTCTGCACCCATTGCAACGCTCTCTGCACCCATTGCACCACTCTCTGCACCCACCTTCACGGCACCAGCAGCTTCCAAACCAGCTCGAATCTCCTCCTCGCTTGCTTGCACTCGACCAACCAGCTCTTGCCACGTGTACCCTTTCCGTCTCCCCCTCTTCCCACTACCAAACCCTCCTCCAACCCCCCTTGTCCCTCTCGCCAAACCCCCTCCTTCCCCCCCTCTCACTGTACCATCCCCTCTCCCCCAACCTCCTCTCTCCCCTCCTTTCCCTCCTCCTTCCCCTCCTCCCTCTCCCTCCTCTCCCTCCCCTTCACCCCCCCTCAGTTCCTCCTCCTCGTCCCGCTCGTTATAAGCACATGCAGACAGCAGGTGGGTCAGCCGGGCCAGCCTAGGCGCCACAGGAACAACCTCCAGGTGATTTGATGCAACTGCTGCTGCAGTCACCCTCGGTATTGTCACATTCTGGAGCTTCTTATCTTGAATAATAACATCTGCACTGCTCGAGGTTTCCATTGCAATTTCAGGTGCTGCTTCAGGTGTTTTTCAGGTGAATTTTCATGTGGAGGGACGAGGAGAAGCAGGTTGGTGGTGGTAACCAGCTTGAGTGCGAAGGTGCTGCTGCGAGTGCAGAGAACTGCCTCGTCCCCATCCTCCGCTGTACCCTTTATAACCAGCCTGCGATTTCAGCTTGCACGCAATGAGGTGTAGCAAAGAGGGGACGAGAGGAGGTGCTTATAATGAGGCGAGAGTGAGGAAAAGGGTGACAACCAGGGACGAGTGTGAGAATGGTAGGTCAGCGAGTGAGCATGCTGAATTACGTACCAACCGGTCTCACAAATACATCCAGGTGGTGCTATCGCTTATCTAGACAAATATACACCCATTCACACCCATCAACGCCTATCCACGCCCATCCATACCCATCCACACCCATCCACACCCACACCCCACACCACAAGCCTCACATAATCGAACGCATGCATGCACCACAGACCCCCCCAATTGCTCAATTGCTCATCAACCCATCCACTTCCAGAAGCTATCACTCCCACTACAGTCTCCCTCTACGCCACACGCCACATACATACGCCCCGCCGTCGCTCAGCAGCTCTGCCAGCATCGACTCGTCCACTTCCAAAGGCTTTCACCAAGTCTCCCATGGCCACGCACGCATCAGCGCACTACACCCTCTAAGGCAGGCGCCACATGCCGCTCACACACCCCACACCACTCGCCCCACCTCACCATGGCTCCGAAGCTCCTAGAGCATCGACTCGGCCACTTCCAGAAGCTTTCACCAAGGCTCTTATGGCCACGCATCAGCACACCACACCCTCTAAGCCACGCGCGCGCCAAACACGCCACACACCCCACATACGTCGCCCCCCCTCACCCGTCGCGCAGCAGCTCTGCCAGCATCGACTCGTCCACTTCCAGAAGCTTCAGCTCTCCCGCTCCCGACCCCGCCCCGCCTCCCCCGCCCCCGCTTCCCCCTCCGGCGGCTGCGAGCGCCTCCTGCTGCAGGAACGGAAGCAGCGAATCACGGCACGCCAGCTGGACGGTGTCGCCGACGGACATGTGGCACAGGCGGTCCGCCATGACGCTACTACTAGTATCGATCTGCCTCGACGACGGAGCGTGTGTGTGCGCCGCGCAGCTACCAGGGTGGACCTGCGGGGTCGACGGAGTGATATTCGAGTCGACTGAGAAGTCAAAACATGGCGCTGCTAGGACATGTGGCGCAGGCGGTCCGCCATGGCGCTGCAAGGATGGAGCTGTGCCGACGGAGCGTGTGTGTGTAGAGATGAACTTGCTTCGCTACAGTTGACTTCGCTAAGCTCGCATAGTGCGAGTAGAGGCGACTCGCATCGACAGAGAGGTGTTGAGGAGTGGTGCACGGGGACGAATTGTGGCGAGGGCCAAGTGGCGGTAACCACACTCAGGGTAGAAGGTGGTGGATGCGAAAGCTGGCGATGGAAATAGACGAATGACCGTTGATATTTTGGTGGATACAAGCTACTTTGTTGTAGGCTATTACCACTCCCACAACACACTGAAAAGGAAAACCTATATAAATCATGTATTTTGTTTTAGAAAAAGAATAACTATAACTCATGCATGACACCGTTTGTTTCAACGTTAACCTCAGAAGTTTTTTTAGTTTGATACTAAATGCACCATTTCTCTGCCCCGTCTCAGAATAGTGCACGACGCCTTTGTAACGCATTGTGATGCGGTAATAGGAATTTACACTAAATACAGCTGGTTGGGCCTTGTTGTTAAGATTAGGAGATTATGCAGTACTTAGGTTTAGGAGAGGTTTAGCAAAGAGAATCATGGAGGGAGAAGTTTGGCCAAAAGAGGGCTTTCATTATGAAGTTGTGAGTACAAATAGGAAGGAGAGGAAGGGGAAAAGGGTACACCACCAGCAGTTGAACCTAATATCTAACTAATACACTAGCAAGCTGTAGGCAGTTATAACAGGATATGCAAATATACTTCAACACACCCCCGTAACTACCTACGGCTATAGCTAGTGGTGTCTAGCACCAGGTCGCCTGGAGAGCGGTTGCTGTAGCTGGGATAGGCACAGAAACAGCGGTGGCTGACCGGCAGCACCTGTGAACGCCAGAACGGAGGAGGGCGCGGAGAGCGCGGAGGAGGGCTGGGATAGCCGGAGGGCGAAGGATGCTGGTCGCTCGCCATCTACGAGCAAACACAACTGTTGGTGAGGAGGAGGAAGCTGCTGGTGGTGCACAGGAGGAGAGCGGAGGAGAGGCGGCTGGAGGAGAGGAGATAGGAGGAGGAGATGCGGCTGGAGGAGAGGAGAGGAGGAGGAGATGCGGCTGGAGGAGAGGAGAGAGGAGGAGATGCGGCTGGAGGAGAGGAGAGAGGAGGAGGAGATGCGGCTGGAGGGAGGAGTGAGGAGGAGGAGATGGAGAGGCGGCTGCTGGAGTGAGGAGAGGAGTGCAGATGTGGCGGTTTGCTGGTCATCCCTGCCACCCCCTCATCCCCCCCCCCCCTCACGACCGTAAACACGGGCGCGAGAGAGAGGGAAGAGAAGGGCCGCGGGCTGTTGCTGCATAGTAACTCCCGCCACACCCTAATCCCCCCTCCCCCCCCCCCCCACGGTGAAGCCGCGGCAGGGAGGTGGTGCAGCGCGCGCTGCTGCGCCTGGTCGCGAATTGGTGGCGTGGGGCGCGCTGGCGACCGTCGCCGGGGCTGGCGCTGGCGCTGGCGACTGTCGTAGGGGCTGGCGCTGGTGCTGGCGACCGTCGTAGGGGCTGGCGCTGGCGCTGGCGACCGTCGTAGGGGCTGGCGCTGGCGCTGGCGACCGTCGTAGGGGCTGGCGCTGGCGCTGGCGACCGTCGTAGGGGCTGGCGCTGGCGCTCGCGTTGGCGCTGGTCGCTGGCGCTGGTCGCTGCCCTGGTCGCTGGCGCTGGTAGCGCAGCTGACGTGCTGCTGGGTGGGGCTACGGGCGGGCTGCAACTGCACGGCAAAGGGGCGACAGTGCTAGCCATGTAGGCAAGTGGTGGGCCCATTAGGATCGGGTCCTAGGCAGGAACCCGCTCTGATAGCATGTTAAGATTAGGAGATTATGCAGTACTTAGGTTTAGGAGAGGTTTAGCAAAGAGAATCATGGAGGGAGAAGTTTGGCCAAAAGAGGGCTTTCATTATGAAGTTGTGAGTACAAATAGGAAGGAGAGGAAGGGCAAAAGGGTACACCACCAGCAGTTGAACCTAATATCTAACTAATACACTAGCAAGCTGTAGGCAGTTATAACAGGATATGCAAATATACTTCAACACTTGTAAGGCAAAATGTTAACCAACAAACAAAACAGAAACTGTAGAAACATACCTTCTGTAATATTTACTAACGCGGTTACCACTTCGCACACTCGCCACTGCCCCTCCCCTCCACTACTATCATCTCGGCCCATTCGTGGGATGAACTGGGCACAAATAATATCGACCTGACAAGGAGTCATCACCATCTTTACCGCGGTTTGCGGCAGCACAAATAATCACAACGCGTTTAGCAGATGTCAGAGTCGTTCGCTAAACCGCGGCTGAAGCTGTGATGAGTTGTAAAAGAGAGTGCGCAGGTAAACGAATAACGAGACTGTGATTAACTAATCTGCGAATACAATGAAGGCACGGACTAATGTAGGGGCTAGCCTAGCTAGGAGGAAACCTCGGACGAGCGAGGTTGGGGTGCAGGTTTGGCGATGGAATTGCCGAAGGCGACGCGAGGAGCCTCGGCAGCGTTGAAATCGGCCGAACGTGCAAAGTCCGAAAATCGGGCTGTACGCGTAGCAGTCAACCCCGATAAGGAATTCGGGAAAATTCCTTACACTTACCCCCCCCTTAAGAAAGGCGGTCAATATCCGAAACACGCATGCGCGCCAAGTAATCACGAACAAGTGACGAGGCGTCGAGCGAGTCAGAATGCACCCACGTGTCATCTTCACTGGTGCGGTCAGTCCAACGAATGAGGAAGTCCACGTGGCGACCAGCTGCGTCAAGGCGAACCCGATGTGCCAGAATCTACGAAGGTTCGAGAGTCGGCATAGGTCGTGCTGTTGGGGCAGCTTGTTGCCGCGCGATGTCGGTCGTGGCTGGCACGAACTTGCGAAGCAGGCTGATGTGGAAGGCGTCATGAATTCGCCAGTCGTCGGGTAGCAGCAGCTTCGCGGTGACAGGTGTCACCATCTTGATAATCTTGAAAGGCCCACAAAATCGTGGCCGTAATTTCGACGGGCTGGGCAGGTGCAGGTTCTTCGTGTCGAGTAGCACTAGTTGCCCAGTGGTCAAGACGAGTTCCCGGCGTAGAAGGTCGGTGTATTTGCGGGAAGTGATATTCGCCTTGCGAATTGCATCGGCGGCCTTTTCCCGGACTTCTTGAAGTTCCGTCACAAAAGTTTGTGATCTCGGGACCGGGTTGTCGAGGGAAGTCGCTGTAGGAACCGTCGGGTCCATCCCGTAATTCAGGAAAAACGGGGAGTGATTAGTCGTGCTGGACGGCGCGTTGTTGAAAGCGAACTCCAACATGGCAAGAGATTCTTCCCATCGGGCAGGGTCGGGGAAGTTTGTCCTGATCAGCTGCTCCATGGTCTGATTGGTCCGCTCGGTCTGGCCGTCTGTCTGTGGGTGATAAGCTCATGAGAACTGTAGTTTCGTGCCGTACTGCGCCCACGTCTCCTTCCAGAATTTTGATGTAAACTTCGGGTCGCGGTCGCTGATGATCGCTGAAGGGATGCCGTGCAGTCGCACGGCCGTTGAGTTGAAGAGGCGCGCAGTTCCTTCGGCTGTGATTGTTGTTCGGCATGGGGCGAAGTGCGCCATTTTCGTGAAGCGATCGACGACGACGAGTACGGCGTCGTTGCCGGACGGCCCAGCTGGCATCCCCGTGACAAAATCCATTGTCACTTGCTGCCACGGTCGTTCGGGTGGCTCGAGGGGTTGCAGCAGCCCAGCTGGTCGTTGACGTGTCGATTTCATGGCTTGGCACACTCTGCATGAGGACACATATTGCTGCACGTCGTTAGAGGAATCAGGCCAATAATATTGACGGTGGAGTAATTTCTGGGTTTTATCAACCCCGAAGTGTCCGGAGAAGTTCGAATCGTGGACCTCCTGGATAAGGAGTTCACGCAGCAGCCTGTAAGCGGGAACCCGAATCCGGTCGGTCCCGGCTTTTAGGTAATAATCCCCTTTCTGCGTCGTGGCCTGCTGGTGGTTCCCAGTCGTGAAGAACGGGTCCGTAGTGTAGCCGTGGGTGAATAGTCCAGTAAGTAACGGGTTCGAATGGGTGATGAGTACTGCAGCGGATTGTACTTCGGTCGGGTCAGGGCGTCGGCGATGTTATTCGCCCCTTTCTTGTACGTGATGCGGTAGGTGAAGTGGCTCTCCATGTAGTCCAGCCACCGAATCTGTCGTGGGTTGAGGTTGGGTTGGGCTCGTATGTACTGTAGGGACTTGTGGTCCGTGCGAACAGTGACGTCGGCGCCCACCAGGTAGCATCGCCATAATTTAAACGCGTGGATGATGGCGAGCATCCTTGTCGTGGATCGGGTAGTTGCGTTCGGCTGCCTGCAGCTTGCGTGATTCGTAGGCAATCGGCTGCAACCCGTTCCCGAAATCTTGGAGAAGCACAGCTCCGATGGCGAAATCTGAGGCGTCGGTGACGACTTCGAACGGCTTCGATGGGTCGGCAATGCGCAGCACAGGAGGGGAAACTAGAAAATTCTTGAGTTCCTGGAAAGCCGCTTCTGCCTCCTCCCCCCACACAAAATTCCTGTCCTTGTGCAGCAGGTCGGTCAGCGGGCCGGTTATCCCCGCCATATTCGGGATAAACCGCCTGACGTAATTCACGAATCCGAGAAAACTCTGATGTGAGGATCTAGGATCGAGCTCAGAAAAGAGAGTTTGAATTGAATGATCCACCTGGGTACGATACGAGGCTATATATAGGCTCGACACAAGGCAGGTAACCCAGGTGTTACGCGAATGTTCTGAGGGTCGCGAAGCGTCCCGAACAGAACCTTCCCGAACTCAGTAGAAAGCAATTCGGT